GGTGCCACAGAGCCATCCTCTCATGAGCCAAATCTCCACAAGTGAATCCCATCTTTTCCTCTCCCCCTGCCCCAGCTGCTCTCACTCTCTCCCACCATTCAGAACTCACTGAGTTACTATGAAACAATTCCAAAAAGAGGCAGTTCAAAGTGTCTGTTTTTGCTCAACTGTAAGGTGATTAAATTCTGTCAAGCAGCTACATTCCAATGGCAAAAAAAGCTGAACAACTGAAAGTTTTACACAGGATGCATACATATTTTATTTTGGGAAATACATTAAAAATTGTTTCTCAGTCTAAAATATCTACACAGGATACAGAATATGCAGAGTGCCCTTTTAAACTCAAGAAACATGTCAAATGTACAAAAACATTACAGAGAAACACTTGTTAATCAAAGCACAGTAAATGGATGCCATTTTTCAACAGTTCAAAACAGTCTCTAAACCAGTGCAAATTTTACTGCATTAAAGAAAAACTTCCCAGCTCACTTAATAAATTCATAATTTATTCACACTACATCCTTTCATCCTCATTACAATAGTTTACTTTAAGCTCCTAAAAGGAGTTTAATGTGCTTCTAAAAATGGCAAACAATCCCTTTTATTTGCACCACTGATTGATGCAGACTGAAAGAACAAATAAAAATCCCATCCGTTTCTCTCCTTGTATGCATCACAATATACAGCACAGTAGAATACAGAACTAGAGTCCAATTCAACCATTCAGTTTCAAGACTTAGAAGCTACAAGTGTGTGTGTGTGTGGTTTTTAATTTTAAGAGTCCATGATGAAAAGCTGATATACAGAAGGCACCTTAAAGTTTTTTTAGTTAAAAGAAAAAACATTTGTTGAAAATGTAGTTATATAAGATGACCTGCTTACCATTTAATGAAATAAAGTTATCTGCATGAAATAATTGTTGAATAAAGAGATTTTCCAGAGGAAACTACTGAGTGGATTCTTCAGTTACTTACATTTTAACAATTTGTTTTAAAAATATAATTTCTATGATCTAATTTAATATACATTTTGAAAATATCCCCTATGTTGTAGTTATTCAAGGAAAGCAGTAAACTCAATGAAAGGTATATTCTTCTAGCTGCAGCAATACAAAAAGCCATTAATTCACAGTTAAAATGGAATAAAATTACTCATTCACAAGTGCAATGTAGCTTGAGCTTAACCAATGTGAAATTCCACTAGGAACAAGATTAAGTGACTTGAAAAACAAATACATTTAATTTGAAACACATATACTAAATAAAATATTTTCCATTAAAAATTGTATTGTCTAAACTTGAGTTATATAAAATGTGAAGGCAGGATATGACTGTAAGTAACATACAGATGCTTCTAGTAACATAAATGCTGGTATCTATTACTGTGCCAATACTGCAGCCACATCAGTGTCCTATACCTATGGGGTTCTGAAAGTTGTGTCTTGGTAGTGTGCCAGAATATAATTAATAAAGAAAAACACTTAAGAATCCCCATTTTAAACCTTTAAGACCCCATTTGTTGCTTTAATTCTACAAAAAATAGCTGTTTTGATATGAGCACACAAACTACATGTAACTCTTTTATAGCTGGGTGAAAGGTGCAAGATAGTATCTTCTCAGCATAACTGACTGAAGTTTGATCCTTAGGCAAACAATTCAAGGAAGCTTCTCCCTGGTAATTGTTATGCCAACACAAACTTTCTAAATTCTTGAGCTTACCTGAAATTCATTAACGTTTGCATCCACATATCTAATCAGTTTGGTTTACACCTTCACTTTGTGCACACACTGCAGGTTTTGAAGTTAATACTGATCTGTAACCATTTCCTTCACATTTATATGTGAGAATTGTAAAATACACACAGAAGAGCCATCTCCTCCTAAACACTGGCTGTTGAGCTACTAGAAAGAATATCTGGAGGCAAGAGTTTGCTTTGAAAATGAGCAAAATGCAACTTTTTCTGCTTACACTGAGAGGAAAACAGTACCAAGATCAAGCTTATCCACAGCCTTCCTTCACAACACTTTGTCCAGCTCATTCATGCGTTATGGATTCAGATAAATTTGTATTACTAGGAGTGGGGTGTCAAATTAGAAGCATTTGTAGGTAACTAAGTCATTCCTATATAGCCCAAGAAGTTCATGTTGTTACTAACTTGCAGAGAACTTATTATGTCTTTAGTGCTCAATTTCTTAAAGACAAAAACGTTTACAATGCACTCACAGAAAACTTCTGAAGACTTTTCCCTGTTTATTTTTGGCCAGATTGTCAACCATACAAGTACTGAGTCATGCTTAGCTATTTTATGTCATGCCCTTTTCTTACGCATGCTCAGTTTTTTTCAACATTCAAATTAGGGATACCTACATCTCAGAAAGTTTGTGTAGGAAAACCTGCGGTCTCTACCTGTTTGTAGGACAAGACCTAAAAGTCAAAGGAAGAACAGGAAGTGCCATCGTGCATTTGAAAGGAGAGAAAGCCACTAGGAAAAAAACACTCAGTTCTTAGTTACTTTCAAATTTTTCTGATCTTTTTTTTTTCCCCAAAAAAAATCATCCTCTTAGATGAAAACTTCATAAACAAATTTCATTAAGAAATCTCCTTTTTCATTTGAACTGTGCATTTCATTCAAGAACCAGCTGATTAGTTAGCTATTAAAAACTAGGCATTAAAAAATCCAAATTAAAAAGATGAAGCACTTACTTTTGTCATTCTATATTAAAGAATTAATTTCAGTAAGCAGATTCAAGATTTCAAGTAATTACATTCAGGATTTCTACCACTCTGAAATCCAGGTATATACAACAGGAAAATAAGTTAATTTGTAGTGTACAGAAACGCCAATATGCAGGAGCAAATTAAAGCAAGTTCAATCCTGCAACTGTCCTTTTCCCTTTAGGCTTTAGGATCTTTTTTGTTTAGTGTATATACCTGGGTAAAGTCTAACATTTAGCACTAGATGCTGTGACACAATCTGCTTTGCTGTTTCTACAACACTACTGCCTGATTAATCTACATTTTTGGTAAAAGACTGGAAGGTGATCTGCTTACAGAATTTAGTTTATAATATCATTTACAATAGCTTAAAAAAATTTGGATGTCACCAATTATCTAAAACAGCACTAACTGGACAGATTTTCTTTGTAATTTAATGAGCTGAGAGAATTTAAGAATAACTAAAACTTGATTCCTTACAAGTTGCATCACATAATCATATGGTTTGTCCATTTAAGACTCAGAAATTGTCTTTGTATAGCTGTATATTTAAAATCATTATAGAATTACACAGGAAAATTTGCTGTTTTGGTTTGTAGAAGTATTAAGTTGTGTGGATGAATGCTTCAGAATTTTACTTTAAAAGGATGGAACTGCACATATCAGTTATATAATAGGAGAAGAGAGAGAAGTATGAAGAATCAAGCTCTACTCTTCCATTGTGATGTAGGTCAGATATCTGCAAGCAACCATGCATAACCCCAAAGGAAAAAGAATGAAAAAAAGTGTCAGAGTGTGCTTTCTTACTTTCAATTCTTGAGCAAGCACAGTATTTTCTTCAGGAGAGAATCTGTCCAGGTAATATCCCCATATTAACTAAGGATCAGCACTCTTAGACAAAATACAAAGCATCACTCCATGATGCAAAGGTATTTTGCAACAAATAGTGCAAATCCTGTTTTAGCCTCATGAAAAAACAAAAGTTGGTTTTGTTGTTTCATGTAGAAGCTGTTCCAGACAGATATTAATCTCTCATCATTTTCAAGAGTGAAAATTTTTAAGAAAGAGTGGTATGAAGTAAATACATTCATACTCAGATGTGACTATAGTTTTAGCTATGCTCCTTTAACATGCTACAAATATTACTCTTTTTTCTCTAGAAATAATTCCATCAGAAAAGCCACACCATTAAATTTCAGGAAAAAAAAAAAAAAAAAGGAATAGATCTTATCATATTCCTCAAGTAACAAACATTCAAATTGTTGACCAGTATTCAGGCCCTTCTTGCCAAGAAGTCTATGACTATTGTAGTCAATTAAGTATGTGAGGTGAGGTCTTAATCTACTAGAAGCAGATGGATTCATCTTTTCAGCTCATACACTCGAGCACTTCATTTGTGCTAATATACACCTTGAAGACGACATTTATAAATACATTTTAATTGAAATATTGAATTTGGACTATTAGTGCAAAATAATTAACCCACAGGCTATAGTGAAAGCATGGGAGAAAGTGATAAAGAATTCAAGGAAAAGATATTTTTTAAGCATACATGTGTACAGCATAAAGCGTATTTTTTTTTCAGACAGTGTGTTTGATGAATCTTGTATGTATAATAGAACTATTTAAGCTTCCTATCTAATTTTTAGAAATCCATCCATTTCTGAGCTGTTTAGTGTAGAAGCCTATCATCCTTTTGGAGAAAGCAGCAGTCCATTCACAGGATTTTTCACTTGTCAGATACAGAATACAGGAAAACTGAGAGTAAGTTTCTAGTTTTTACAACCATAGACATACATTGTGTACTGTGGAGTACATAACGGAATACTATGTTCAGCTCTGGAGCCCTTAACATAAGGACATGGACCTGCTTAAGCAGGTCCAGAGGAGGGACATGAAGATGATTGCAGGGCTGGAGCATGTCCCTTGTGAAGATGGGCTGAGAGAGTGGGGTTTGTTCAGCCTAGAGAAGAGAAGGTTCTGGGGAGACCTTACAGCAGCTATCCATGACTTAAAGGGGGCCGACAGGAAAGATGGGGAGTGATTCACGGATTGTAGGGATAGGACAAGGAGTAACAGTTTTAAACTGATAGAAGGTAGTTTCAGAGGAGATATAAGGAAGAAATTCTTTCCTGTGAGGGTGATGAGGCACTGGAACAGAGAAGTTGCCCAGAGAAGTTGTGGCTGCCCCCTCCCTGGCAGTGTTCAAGGCCAGGCTGGATGGGGCTTTGAGCAACTTGATCTAGTGGAAGGTGTCCCTGCCCATGGCAGGGGGTTGAAGCGAGATGGTCTTTAAGGTCCCTTCCAACCCAAACCATCCTATGATTCTATGATTATGAAAAGGTGATTGAAATATAATTTAGAACACTGATTGGGATAAGGGTCTGGAGAAGTGTAGCAATTTTAAGTACTGTGATCTGACAAGAGCAACTGCATTGCAACTTCCAATCCAAGGACTCAAATATTTACATTCATACATACATACATACATACTGCACACCAGTAAAAAGATCCCCTTTAGGTAATGGTAATTTTAAAGAAATAGTGAAGAATTTCAGTATTCTGTGGAAAGAAAGGTATTTCATTAAAATACACTAACGCTGGTGGCCCTTAAGAAAGTCACCAACTATAGGCTGCTGTTTAATTATCACCTTTTTGAACAACTTGATATTGTGGGGGAAAGATATGAGGAAGGAAAAGTAGTATATATAGGGAAAAAAAGCAGAACCATCACTGAAACTATCTCAATAGTTTTAAAACATTTTAACATAGTTTACACTGTGTTTCATGAGATGAAAGACAAGAATGTATGTTGTAGTTCAATGAAATTGCTTTGACAAATTGCTCAGTTATTACCTTTTGGGATTCAAAGTGTATATATCACCATGCTTCTGGTTTGTTCACCTCTACTTTTGTCTCACTGGAGTGTGTGTCTTCCTCATTTTTATATTAAAGGTGCTCCAAAGCACTTCCTACAACACTCAACCCTGCTGCTTGGTGGAGCATCAATTTTCTGCATCTTTTCAATAACATCCTTTGGTAGATTTTTATGTGCAAGTCTGTATTCACTATCAAAGACCTCTGAAATAGAAAAAGCATAGTTGAAGTTATTTAAGAAACCTTGTACAGTGCATATTACTGTTCCTATAAAATACTTTTGGTGACTTTTATATAATAACAAATTAATTAACTAGCTGCTGATTTGGTGTGTTGTTTTTTTTTTTTTTTTTCCCAGAATGCATCCTCTCAGAGAACCTGAAAAGCATCTTCATGCTGGAGCATCACAACACTTCAGAGCGGATGCCCATCACTTCCATCACAGTTCATTCTGCCTGTTTCCAGGCTATTTCTCCTGTCACATCCCACAAGGGAGTCCCTTTGCTTGCATAGTAGCAAACAGAAGTCAGGGTAGAGGAGATCAGGAAGGGGTGGGCAATCATGTGGCTAGATGACATAGGTCTAATAGGTGGGTCAGAGAAAGATGGACAAGACTGGGAACAAATTTTCACACATGAGGAATTAAAGCTTCAACCTAATGAACTTTGTTTAAAATAACTGATTAATAGATTCAAAGTCAAAATTAATGGCCCAATCTGAATTACATTTTCATAAAAGCAACACCTTTGAAGAGTGACAGCACAGTAGTTTTCACAAAAACACAGTAATTGAAAAGTTACTTAGAAACTCATGGATGAAACGTCAATTTTATACACTAGTTTTCATATAAAGTATTTGTATATTCCATACACAGGCACTATACATTTCACAGTATTCTTTACTTACCAATATCAATGTTCTCTCTTCCAAGAGACACCAGAGACAGGAAAAGAATTTCTCTGTAAAAACTCCTAGGAAATATTTTGAAGGCCAAGTTAATGAAAGCACTAACTGTAAGCTTAGAAAGTCAGTGTTGAAGATGCTAATCTTCCATTATGTAGTTTCTGCAAGTGTTCTGTTAATCTTGCTTGTGAAGAAAGTGACCAATCTACATGACTACTAGTTGAAAGTTTTCTCATGCCTGTCTATTTTTCCTTAACACATTAAATTATATTATTGCCAAAACCTAGCAGTTGCATTTTCTATGAAAAACTGCTCTGCCAAACATGCTGTAAAACCAAGAAATATAAAATCAAGCACCGCTTAATGAGTTAATACTCATTCCTGCCTGAGGGTAACGTACATGGAGCAGGCTTATTTCAGATCACCCATAGTTTCAGAGTGTCACAATCTAGATATCTCAGAAGTGGGTATCACTGACCAATTAGATATTAATTTTTTTCCTTGTGGAACTTACAAAGATTCTTCTCTAGGCAGGTCAGTTGTTTCTTTTTAGTAACTACAAACCACAGAAGCAAAGATGACTTAGCATTATAGACTTCAAACACATTTTGTGTTTGTGATGTAATTTACTTCAGAGGCTGTGCTTTTGTAAGAAGCCCTTTCTGAACTGTATTTCAGATGTCAAAATGGACCACACAACTGTTATTTATGTGTCTCCCTTTGTTTGTGAATCATGCTGTATCCTCTTTCCTTAGCCAGTACTCCAAATTGGTAGAATTTCAACAGATAAAACTAGGTTGTTTGAAGAATACTGAAGACACTGCAACAGATACTGCACATTTGTATTTATCAATTTGCTAGATTGGGAGCAACACCAAAATCTGCATAGTCAGTATCTCCATTTTACTTATTCGTTTGTAAAATATCCATTTTGATTAAAGAATTACATTTATCCTTTGAATTGGATGAATTATGCATGTGGCTATAGAATGCATCTGTTTGTAAGCATGGGCATAAACAAATATACATAGTGTTTGGTGGACACAAATGAAACTGAGTATTCCCAAGCGGTCTGTATGGAATTAACATTATGAAGTGTAAACAGTCTAATGTTGTTTGAGTGGGAAGAAAGTAAGAAGAGATTATCCCTTTACCTCTGTCGTTTCACATCTGGCTTAACTTTCTGTAGAAGGAGGTTGATTGGTTTAACAACGTTATTGTGTTGAATACTTAGTTTGATGTTCTCCAACAAAGTGTTTGTTGCCTGCTGATCTTCTGTCACTGTGGAGGGTTTCTTTTCAGAAGAATCTAGGAAATGCAACAGTACAGGTTTGGGTTTTTTTCTCTTTAATAAGCAGAAGGTGTTTTAGAAAGTGAGATAGATATATAGAACTTCTACTCAATCTACAGAAATTTGTTACAATGGAAAGGCTTTGTCTGCTTATAGTCTTTACTCCACCATGAAAGTGACAGTATGCATCAAGTATCCATGTGCAAGAGCTCCCGCATGACAGAGAAATACAAGAGACTGAAGAATATTCAGCATCAGAAGTTGCCTGTGATGGTTTGTTAGCTCAGATTTATTGCTGTACTTAAATTTCAAAAATTAAGTTCACTCCATGAAGGTTATTTTTACACAAATTAAAATAAATAGAAGTCACATTTTTTTTATCAATGATACTTTTCTTATCAAAGCCCTTCTTAAAACCCACCTAAAATTCATTGATAACTTTAGGCTACATATTGAAATACATAATGCACAGTTGCATCAAACAGGAAGGAAAATTATTAAGGCATTTACCATCATGATTTTTTGCTTACAATGCCACTTCCAGAGTAACACTGAACTATTCTCTGGAAAATAGTGACTCATGAAGGAATAGTAAGTCCATTTACTGGCAAAAAAATTAGGCTACAGATAAGGCAGCAAACACATGGTGTGTAAATGAAAGGCAGACTTAAGGCTAGTAATCATAATCACACCTAATGTTTTAATAAAATTGACATATATGATGTCTATCTATGACGTTTTCTCCTTTCTTTACATAAATATATTTATGCATCTTCATTCATGTCTGAATGCTCTGGGGATGCTTTCCACGTACTATGCTCAAAACAATATGCTTTTCTAGAAGCTGATGGAAACTATGTACTATTCTGTGCTCGACTGTAATTTTCTGATCAGTCTGTTTATTTTTGGGACACTTTTCAACACATCCTTTTTCCCTTCCTCCTGTGTCCTTAGAACCACAATTAGCATGCTACATAGCTTTTAGCCTAGCTTTTACAAGTTAAAACACAGGCTGAGAAGTTTGGGTCAACAAACAGTTTTTTGCTGATCGGAAGTAATGAAACTCTTCCTTCCTTCCAAACTAAGTTATGGTAGACAAAGTCTTGCCTAGATCTTACTTTTTGACAGTCGAGTAGGCTGCCAAATGTACATATCAATGAAATTGTGACCTTTCATTCATTTACAGAAACACAAGATACTTTTTCCGTAATACAGTCTTCTTTTTCATGCCTGAATAGATATAACCAGATAATGCATTGAAACAGTCAAATCAGGTGAAGCTTATTTAGCACCACATTTAGAGCAAATCCTCCCACCCTGTGTATGATATATAAACAACAGATAACATATCTTTTCACACAGATCAGTAAGACATTTTCAAAAATAACAGGGCTTCGACTATGCTAAGTACCTAAGGGGTTGCAGATGATTCACACACTAAAAAAGCTTTCCACCTTGATGGGCTGTGTACATGTTAAACACTACAAAACAACTGTTTATTTCCATAGCCTCTACTCCCTCTGCTTTCTGTAACATTTGTTTTACTTACTGAGATTTCTCCAAGATATATACAGGGGCTCCCCTGGCTCTTGGTGGAGGTTGATATTGTCCCACAGAAGATGGATGTACACTAGCTTGCTATCTTGAGCAAGAGATGTCAAAGGAAGCTGAAAAGCAGGAGGAAAGGGAAAAAGATTTAAAAACACCTGTACAGTCTTGCTATTTAAAAAATGGCTCTTTTACTCATTTTGCAAACAGAAAAAGGTTTACTTTATTTATCTTGAATCCAACAAACAGGAACAGTTGATGTCTTCTAGGGGAAACTGCACTCAACCAGGGAAAAGTCACAAGTACTGCAACATTAAATTGCCTTTTCTAGTTTAGCCTAATGTATGAAGACCATTCGATTTTTCACAGATATCTGAAATTTATGAGTAGGTATCCAAAAATATTTTTTGCACATGAAACACGTTACTTGATTTGTACTACTTATAATGCCATACCTTAGTATTTTCTGACCTGATTAAGATTTGGTATGCATGGCTATGCTTTCCATCAAGCAGAAAGACTCTGTCTTTGCATATAAATATGAAGCATTTATTTCCATTAAAAATATATGGTGCTCAAAACAATAATTTCATAATTATTTTATAAAATTAAAGTGCCTCTGGAATCATTAATACAATCAGAATTAGTGGTCAAGAAAAGTTTACCACTACTGTGTCATAAAGTAGTAATCAGAAGGTATGTCCCACCTTATGGTTTTCCCTGCTAATCCACTGTATTTTTGCAATAAGCTTTAGATTTCATTAGTATTGGTTTTCAAGTACATTTCTTGGAAAATTCTTCTTGCTTCTAGGTGGGTTTTTGGTTGTTTTTTTATTTTTAAATTGAGGGAGATGATTTTAAAATTAAAGTGCATAGAAGTAGATAGGAAAACTATTTTTTCACATGCATCATTTACAAATATTTAATGAATTTGGTACTTACATACACAAAACCTACAGATATTAAAAAAAAATCTGCTCCTTAAAATGGGAAAACCAAAATATTCAAAAGATAGCACCCATTCTTTTGTTCTATTCATATCATAATGAAACTCAGTGGAGTCTGAATAGCAAAAACTGATAGTGGAAAAGAAGAGTAAATATTGACCAATAACTTAAAAGATTTATATACTGAAGGTATGTAACTCACACTACATGGATTACCATCTATTGCAATTTGTGAGTTCTCCACAGACACATCTTGTTTTCTTCCTGTATCAGCCTTCTCTTTAACCAATCTTACTCTCCAGCTTTTTAAAAGAGAACAGCTTAACTAAAATTTGAATTCTGTTTTCACTCATCTTCCTTCAAGATTCCTTGCAGAAAACAAACCTACCTACTTGTATTATAAATTACAGGAAACTAGATCCAAGCTAATCAGAAATTACCCAATTTTTCGGAAACAAACAAATTTAGCTTACTCTAATATCTGCATTTCTAATATGAGGAAGTTGCTCACCTGCACTCCATCATTACAGTGTTCCGATGTTAGAATGAGTCCAGGTAAGTTGCTAGGTAGATCTAACCGTCGGAAATACCAAACTAGGTTCCAGAAAATTATGGGGTGTTGATTGATGAATTTGGATGTATGAATTACTTGTTCTCCTTCATTTTCCAACAGTGATTCAAGCTCCTTACGCAGTACCAAAGGGCTCAAGTAGGGTACAGATACAGGGAGAGGGTTAGGTCTTTGTACTAAAGGATCCTAAAAACAAAACACCACACAAAAAAGAAAAACTTTTTTTTTTTACAAAATCAAAAATTTTTCTTCCAGAAATACTCTTTAGGATTACTTGCAGTTTCTTTTGATATTTGGAAGATGCCTCTGGAAGTACCAAACACACAATAACTTTTAAAAGCATCAGCAGTTTTGACTGTTCAGGTGTTTCTTAATCATCTAAGATCTCTCTGTTATGTGAAAAGAGAAAATGCTAATTTGTTACAACTTGTTCCTGACTCAGCAGTTTCAAGCTAAGCTGGTACCAAGCAAGTGGCAATGGAGATTGCAGAAAAACATTCAGTAATTACATAAATTGTGGAACTGAATCATGAGTTCACATGTTAACACTTGTTAACAAGACATAACAAGAATAATGTAATAGTCTCAGTACTGCGTCTTACCTTCTACCATTCCCTCTACAGGTAAGTCTAATAGAATACAGAGGAGGAGTGTAAGTGAATGTGTGGAAAAGGAACAAGTTTTCACTCTTGCAACAGTGGTTGTTTGTATTACTGTGTTTAGTCTGCTGTGGAAGTTGGGTTATTTTTAAAACAAACTTCCAGTTTTAGAAAGACATAAGTCTAGCTTCATTCTGCTAGAGAGAACATTTCAAAGCAAGCAGCACTGTTTGTACAATCTGCTGAAAAAGGAATTTTGGATATTTTTTTTTTTTGTCATAAGAACATGAAAATATGCTAGCCCATTCCCATTCCCCAAATGGACAAGAATACTAGTAGTAGAACGTCATTCATTCCAAATTCATTACATTCAATATTTTGCTGTCAACTGAATGATCAGCTTCTAGACTTACCACAGCTTCTTGCAAACTATTTGGAAGACTAACTGTTGAAATGCCATGAGATGGTCTCTGGGAAAGATCAATATTTTGCAGTGGACCTCCAACACTGTGGCTCCGAGTCAAGGACATTCCCCTTTTTGGTGCATTACTGGCAGATATCTTCATGGTTCTGGGATCTTCACTCTGTTGTTCTGCCACATCACTGTTTGGATTTTAGAAGAGAATATGCTAATATGAACTATTCAGCATCCCTATGGCAGCAGAAAGGAAGCAGAGAAGGGCTGCCAAGTATGTATTCCAAATCAAGTTTCTTTATTAATAAGGAAACATATTTACCCAGTTAGTTCCACAGTTTACGGAAAACAAAATGTCTTTCAGCATAGTATAACCATCCCTCAAGAAAAGCAGCTAGGTACAACCTGAGACATGAAGCTGAGAGAACTGTAGCTCTGCATAGGTACCATTGCTATGGTACAGCTTTACCTTGCTTAGAAAATAGTAGTAATGTACTGTTTCGTCAATACATAAAGATTATATAGTTCTCATTATGCTCATTTTTAATACTTCTTCCCTTTATGTATACTTTCTCTAAATGTCATAAGCAGAGCAAAAATATTAGATAGTTAGAAAACCATTTATAAGTTGCATGCCAAAATCACTGCGAAAATAAAATTGTGTCAAACTCATCCAACAGGACAATTTAAGCAAACTCCTATTAGAAGCTCATCAAATTTAATCCATACAATCAAGCCATTTAAAGATCTGAGAATATTCATTTTGTGCCCCTTATAACTGAAACAATGGATAAAAACAATTCAACTACAATACAGAAGAAAAAAACATCAAATGAAATAGAAAGTGTTTGCTTCCAAATAATTCGCAAAGAGAAGGAAGAGTTTAATTTAGAGGTGACCTTCACTCCTAAATTTGACTTTATATAAAAATATGAGACATCAATGTTAAGAGATTAACATACGCAATATCACCTTTCATTTTTAGAGTATTCGGACTAACTATTATCACATCTATTTAAATTGTGTCAGACTAACTAGTCTGACACAGGCATTATCTCATTAGCTCACAGGCACTGATACTCAGGAATTCCAAACTGAATAATGATTTTTAAAAAATCCTATTACAACAAAATTTCAACAAATCCCAGCAAAAGAACCACAATTCGTAACTGCACTATTTCAGTTCTTCCCTCTTCCAACATGACACCTTCTTCTTACTGCTTCTTTCCTCAAACCCTTTTAAAAGTGATACTGTTTTTCTGAGTTCTCCTGAACCTACATCAGTATTGCTTGTCATAGAATGCATGCTCAGTGCAAGTGTTGAGTATTCGGAGAGCTTTCTCTCAAAAAAGTATTCCAGCAAATGGACTTATTTTCCCTCATATTGGAGCATCCTTGTGAAATTCTAACACAAGAAAAGGAGAAGTAATACTTAAATTTCTGTGTCTTTAAAAGGTGAGTGTTCTAACAATACTGAGTAGAAATTGTACCTATTACTCAATAATGGATGGACCTGAAGATTTATTTCTGTAGTTGTATCTCTAAACCCCACTCATTTAGCGGAACCAGCTTACTTCAAATTGATAAAAGCACACTAAAAAATGTGCAAAAAATAATGAGAGAAAACAGACAATTGTCAAGTTACAATTGTACTTCTCCACCATATTTCATACATAAGCCAACCTTCACTTTAGAAGTAGAGGAGAAATACTGGAAGCGTTGGTACATTTCTTACAGAACTAACAACCCTGTTTTACTTACCTCTGCTCAGGTGCTGAGCTAGTTTCTTCAGCTATGGTGTGGCTGGACTGTGGGTGATCTGAAAAACTGATCAAGTCAGCAACAGCTGGACCGGACAACAGTTTCTGCTCCAAGGGATCCATGGTTAATGGAAGGGTACCACTCTGTACACTATCTCCTGAGGTACTTTGCTTCAGGAAAAAACTAAGTTACAACATGAGTGAGAGGCAAGAGAAATACAAAGGTTAAGATGTAAGCATAAAGTAATCAAAAGTTATTATTTCCTCTATTTATTTTCAAAAACTAGCAAAAATTAGGAAACAACATTAAAAATCTTGACAACAGGACACAAACTTCATCCTACTCTCCCCCCTCTAACTTATATAGGCAGAGTTAACGAACATATACAGAGGTTTGATCTGCAAAATAAGAAATCCTACGCTGGCGATTAAGTCATTAAGCGACCTTAGTGTGTCATGGTTCCCAATCAGCAACAATAGATTGATAGCTGACAGATCACTGAAAATGGTTGTCATTGTAATATGACATTACAGACTAGAAGGCAATATACCATTATAGGCACAAGGTAACAGGAACATGTCTTGCTTTGTTAAGGTTTTTAAGTACATATTCTGCAGATGTTCAGTTTCAGCATTAGAGAACACTAATGGAAGTTCTGTTTCACAGCAATAACCACTACAGCGAGAATTCATTTTAAGGTAACTTAAAATAAATTCCAGACTTCACAGTGCAATTAAAAGAGGCACAAATATTAAGTGAAGAAGGTTAAACTGGAGAGCTACTGGAGAAACATTAAATTAGAGCATCTGTAACTAAAACCCGTTCGTAAATCTGATTTGGGAGAAATTCTATGCTGACAGATTTTAAAACTGCTTCACATGCTTTTAAAAAGTTCATGATCCATTTACATTGTTTTAAAAGCTAAGCAAAATGAAAACAGACATGCCTTCTGTACAGCTATGCTTACAAAGAAAATATGGAAAGAAAAAGTAGTAAAAAGGCAACCAGTTCTTTGCTTTGTGGCTGTTTTACAATGAAACTCAACAGTTATAATTTCCTTCAGTATAATCATGACCATCAAAAACAGGCAGCGACCTTCTTGCAAATGTCTAGACAAAAATACTGGGAGATATAACTTAAGATCCTTTTGTGAAAAAATATAATCATGTACAACTGCAAAGGCAGAAGGAGATTATCTATAAAACCCACTAACCTTGCAGAGCCACGTAGGTCTTTAAATTCAACATTAAGTAAAGGTAGGAAGGTACTTTTACAGAAAGGACAGGTAGTGTTCAAGTTTGAATCATCTGCTGTCCATCCAGCCATAATTTCTTCATCATAAACCAAAGCACCACAAGCTCTACATTGAGAGCAACTTGACATCAGTACCTAGAACAGCAAAGAATGAATATTACCTGTCATGTTTCAGGGTTCTTTTATAATTTGCTTTATAGGCTTACTATTCACAAGAGTTCAACAGGTACCAGAATGCCAGCTGTGAGGCAAGAATTCATCCTGGCCTGGTGAGGAGGCTGGGGGTGAACAAGAGGTTGGGAGGGTACACAGCCAGGACAGCTGACCAAAGTGATCTTACATAATGTTATGCTCAGCAATAAAACTGGGTATGAGGAGGGGATTTTTTTCCAAGGCAGCTGTTGCTTGGGGTGTCATTGTGCTGACTGATTGCCTTTGAATCAGCTGGTTTTTATTGTTCCCTCTCTTGTTTTGTTTTGCTTTTTTCCCCAATTCACTTATTAAACTGTGTTTATCTTGATGTTCAAGGTTTTCTCCAACTTCTGCACTTCCAATTCTCTCCCCAATCCTAATGAGGTGAGGTGAGGGCTTAGCTGCTAGCTCTGGTCAACCCACCACAATTATTTAGTAACAACATATAATTTTCATAAAGGGAAAAAAAAATAAAAACACAAAAAAAAAACTTGAAAGGGAAAAAAAAAAATCTTGTATTCTCTCTAATTTCTGTCTCGCTTCAATTTTTCACCCTTCCCTCAATTGTTTCTTCTCTCAAGATAGGAGAGAGACATAAAGCATTTAACATACTTTTTAGAAGCTACTGTCACACCCTGGGTAAAAGTACCAAGCACCTTTGCAGTAGAAACATGGAAAAAAAATTGTTTTGGAAAATTCAACCACAGTCCAACTAAACGGGTAATTAATGAAACTAGTAATATTGAATAGTTACATTTTTCATCTACGAGTTTATTTATCTTACCTCCATTGCATAGTTCTGGAAAATGCTGGATAAACTAGTATTATATGAAGAGCTGTGCTCTGACTTCTCAGAATCTAGAGCTTTCATACTTCTTGGGAATGAAACTTCACCTGTACAGAAAGAGCTCTTTTGGGTCTTGCATTCAAGGAAAGAGTAGTTCATCCATTCCCCAAAAAAATAATTTTCTGTTCAACCAAGACAGAAAATTGTGCCCAATGATCTCAAAAAATATGTGTAGCTCAAACTTCACTGAGATTATAATTACAATGCAGACAAATGTAATTTTTGTGATTAACATTTCAAAGTATTTTTTGTCTAACACAATATATCACAGACTGGTAAAAGAACAAAAAGCATCAGTAAATAAAATCTGAAAATACAAAGAAAGAATAAAAACAGCAAAGAGCAATAAGATTGCTCAATACATAGATATACTCTAAAAAGTTGTTCAAGATTTCTTGAATGATACTTCCGTATGTAAATAGCAAACAGAAGGACAATACCAGGCAAGATACATGATACCAAATATGCCATTACTATGCTTAAGTTTTTCCTGGCTAACACTGAAGTAAAACAAATAATCTTTCTTTGGTAAGGCTGGGTTTTAGGGTTATGAGCTTTGCCCAGGAGAAGGGGAAAAGGAGTTGGAATAAATTTACCAGAAGGAAATGGTTGGAATCAGTTTTAGGAAGCAAAACTATCAGCATTATTTTCTCTGACAAGCCCAGTTAACCTTTCCTGTTTCAAAAAATCACTACCAGAGTCCCCTCACCATAAAGAAGGTTCCTCTGCTTCTTCAGCTAAAGTTTATGTTTGTGAACAAATTTTATGTATCCTCTTGATGGCTGCCACTCTTTACAGTTAGTTCTTAAAACCCTTCTAATTAACTGGAACTAGAAGATATTCCATCAAGATTTTGCTAGACAGAGCCAGTTTAAGTCCAAGTCCACAAGACAGTTCTTCCTCTCTTGATGCAGGCGGCTTTAAAGCATTTGCATCATTAAAATACTGCAAAGAGAGCTAAACCAACCTCCCAGCTGGTTCAGCAACACATCTTTTCTCAAAATAAGAATCAAATATAATTGAATCTAATCTGAACTGAAAATTATTAGATTTACTTCATCCAATTTTAGAACTGGGTGGGGAGGACAATTTAGCAATAGGCCTATATTCATCAATTATTTACTTCCACAATTTCAAATCAAGTATCCATCCAATACCTCCTATTCCACAGTGAAGCTGATATATTTTTTGTATGTGTTGCTTTAGGGTTTTTTGTGGCCTTAGGGCTGTGGTGTTGGTGGGTTGGTTTGTTTGTTTGCTTTTGGTTTGCCCCCCCCCCCCCCAAAAAAAAAAACAAAAAACAAACACAAAAACCAAACAAAAACCTGCATCTCTTAGTTATGCAACTATTTGCAGTTCTTAAAACACTGCCCTGTTTTTTCATATTAATATTTCAAGAACTCTCAGGGTATTATTTTACATCAATGAGCAGGTGTTATTTGCTGTAACTAGTTAGGAATCTTTCTATCACATACACAAAGGAAGTATTGTTACAGTTTAATCCCTGTGTTTTATATCAACTTCTTATACATACATACAAAGAGAAATATTAGCTGTTTGCTACTGCAAGAGAATAGAACAGAGTACAAATTTGCTTGTACTTATTTTAAGTGCTTGTAATAATTTCAGATTAACATAACTTCCACTGTTATGAATGATTTCACACATAATAGTTTTCCCTGTTTGTTATATTATAAACAAGTTATGAAGGAGAAACAAACAAACAAACAAACAAAATCCACTCACCTGCACTGTAATGCTGTCTTCCTGCATCTCCACTGCTGTTGCTACTGCCAAGACTAGTAGTGCTTTGTGCAAGGTCATTCGTAATTAGCCCTGGGACTGCAGTTCTTGATGACAGATTATCTCCTAAAATATTATCTTTGAAACCAGCAGGGAAGTTAAAGTCTGGTTGACTGTTTTCTTCCTTTAATACAAGAAGAAAATTAGCATTTTTGAGTATTTCCAGATCCATTATTTGACTTCCATCTTCCTCCTAACAAATAAATAATTAAAATAGGAGATTAAGGTAAAATCATGATGTAAAAAATTTTAAATGTTAAGATAAATCTATGCAACCCCAAGAAGGACAGATATTGGACAAACCAGAAGGATACTGGAAAAATAAAAGGCTTTAGCGGTGAAAATACTTAGCTGAAGATCAAACTGAGTGACAAAGCAACAGGGATATAAACTTCTTCATTACAGGAGAGATGGGAAAATGATGAAGACATTGTGATTTGGCAGACATTACACAAAATTAAGGAATTATCAGAAAAAAAGGTCCGAGGTAAAATCATATTTTCAGAACTGAAGATAGGAATGAAACATACCAGTTAAAATGATGCAGCAATAACACAGTCACTAAGACACAGGATGCAACAAAGTATAATAATTAGGATACTAAAAAGGTAAGTTGCAGAAATAAAAGAGGAGACAATGAAAAGATCCTTGAAGGAAACTAAAGTCATGTTAAGGGGATTATGGTGTGACATTAAACAAATTTTTACAGAATAGGTCAGTATAATAGAAAGGCATACAGGAAATCCTAGGTCACAGGAAAAAGGACAGAAAGCAAATCAGTGAGTTTTCATTGTCACAGGCAAAATCTAGTTTAAAAAAGAAAAAAAAACCCAACTTATTAAACCCTATTAAGGACCCTATTAGTAACATCAGTTAAATTTGTTCCATGTAGAAATAAAGCCAGTCAGCTATCTTCCCCCTTCCCACCTTTTATGGAGGTTGGGGAAAAGAGGGATAATTTGTAAGAGGAAACAAGAAGCTATCTTAACAGCCTGAAGACAGGTGACAAGAGATCCTTAAAGTCAAACACTAGGTCGAGGGGTTAACTAAATCAAGCAGAAGCCTTTCTAAGAGAGAAAAATATGTTTGGAGGCACAATAACAAGGTGCATGGAAAGGAGAAAGTTATAAATATTCAACCCTCCATCTCTTCTATCATTTGTGTCATTATACTCTGAAATCTTTTATTCTGAAAAAAGACTTTGTTAATCAAGTGTGCTCACAAAAGAATCATAACATTTAGTTTCCAAATTCCTGATGAGTCAATTTACTAGATCTAAGGCTGTCCTTTAGTACTCACAACTTTAACCCTCACCAACCCAACTTCTCAGGTTTGTGATTTGTTTTCACAACCTTGATTTTAAAAAATAAGACATGTAGTATGGTATCAATCAGGATGACATAATTTTGTTCTTACTAGGGTTACTTGGTGCAATTTCTTTAAATATAAATAGGTAAATAAAAGGGGGAGAATGTTGAGAAGAAAAAGTCAAAGTTAAGTTTACTGCATCAAGACCATTTAATTTGCTTTTGTCTGAAAAGATTTTTAATGACAGAGGAAAACTCCTTCATACATAAACCACAACTTTTATAGCTAATTAACTCAATACTTAATAAAAAATACCACCTCATGAATCAATCTTCTGGACACAGAAGTTATCCCACTAACTTAGTCTCCCCAAATTTTTCATATTGAAAAACACTTGCCTCATCATCTGAGTAACTATATGCTGAAGTTACAACTCCCCACATCTTACTGGCCACATTGGCAGCCTGCTTCATGCCTGATTTCAGAACATCCATTTTTGGTCCAGACAGTATATTGTCTAACTTCAGACTGGATAAAGTTGTTACGACAGATCCTAATGAGCCATGTGGAGAAGAACGACCCAGTCCTGTCAAAGATGAAGACCGCTCCTTTTGAACTCGTGGATGGGTTTGTTGCTTGGGTCGTCCAGTGAATGTTTTGGATCTGGAGACAGAAGGACTTCTCCGATTTTCATCAGACTTAGGGGATGGCAGGATGGGATCCAAAGGCAGGCTTGACCTCCTTTCTTGTGAGTGACCAAGTGTTCCAGAGGCTTCTGCTTCCCTATCTGGCTTGTGCAGTTCCATGCTGGGAAACTTACTACCCAATGGGTTCTTCAGATTCATGTAACTCTCTATTTCATCTGCCAAGTTACGTGCCGCAACTGGTGACACTACCTTTTCTTCAGGTTCTGGATGCCTTGGTTGTATGCTGTCAGTAGCCAACAAAGATAAAGGGTCCAAGCCTACTTCAACATCTTCCCTTTCAATAGGCTTAACCACTCCATAAAAGCTATTCCTTTTAGCAGTTCCATCTTTGGATTCTAGTTTCTGGTTTCTGGACTCAGCTGACTGTTCAAGGTTCATGTCTTCCACTCTGGTCACGTTTTCATCTCTTCCATTCTCAAGATGCTCCTGCCCTTCCCCAGGTTCTTCCAGCACTGGAGAAGACCTATGCTCCAATCCCCAGTCAATCTCAGTCACACAACTCCATGTGCCAGATATGACAGACACCTGCTGGTCAACGATACTTTCAAAGCTGTGGGATTTATTCATATGACAGGATGAAGTTTTGGCCCCAGATAAAGCTGCTGTTAGGATCTTGGCATCTGCTCCCATCATTATTGCTATTTCTTTAGAATGCAAGTCCAAGCTTCCCTTTTTCAGCAGCATTCCTGCTCTGCTTTCACTGCTGAAACTGCAGCTTCTCTCTGAAAACAGTTTCTGCCTCTTCTGTCCTTTTTCACTTGTTTTCTTAGGAGAAACATCACCAAAGACTACGTCTTCAACTGAATCCTGAGTTATGAACAGTGGGCTAGAACCAGTCTCTAAAAGAGAAAAGCATTAATATGGTATCCATAGCCACCAAAAATGTTTATTTCCAGAAAGCATGTGAAAACTCCTTATCTTCTTACCAGTGAGAAGACCAGGAGCACCACAATCTTAAGTTATGTATTAAGAAGTTACATTGGTATTAACAATTTATTTTACTGGCTGCAAAGGCATTCTGTAGATCAAAAGTCATCTACTCTTTGACTCCTTGAGGTCAAAGCCTTTTTTATGGCTTCTACTCCTTTCCTTTTGACAACACCCAGCAGAAAGTAGGTACTATATTCATGAATTAAAGTACAATTATAAGTAAAGATTGCACTATGTTTTTTTCCAGAGCTATATTCACAAATCTATATATCAAACTCCACAATTAAGTTTGGTTCTGAAAAAAGACCCCACAAATCACCAATCATCATGTGTGACTGCACAACACAGAAGTGTTACTTTGCTTATGACAGTCATATTTAGAAAAAGATAACTTCATTTAGCATGTGGAAGATCTAAACTAATCTTATAAGTATTCCCATTTCCTCGGGGGAATTGGGAATATTTATTGCCTAAAAAGCTGTGTTAGCCAGGCAAAAACCTCCATAAGTACAGGAATTCTAATACATTAGGATCCTAACAGAGGATCCAACGAACTATTTCCACTGCTGAAGGATGTCCAAGTCTCATATTGATGGTACTTCTTGATCAGTCATCACCTCTCACAACTGCCAAAAAGGTTCTAGGCAACTTCTTGCCTGACAGTCAATTCTTTGCTGTCAAGCTACACTGAAGTTGGACTACACTGCCATAGTCAAGGACAGGCACAAAACCAGAAAAAAACCATGAGCCCCAAGATTTGGCATTTGCATATCCATAAGTGTTCATCATAAAGTTGCGGATGTGTAAATAGATTTTGTATGGAACAAAGACAACACGCAATGTTCCCAGGTTATACAATGACATTGTAAGCCACAGGTATAGGACTTGTCCAAGATCAGCGAGGTTTAGGTGCCCAAATCAAGAGTAGAGACTCTAATCCTCTTCGTTTTCTAGTACATTGCTGAAACACTCTCAGTGCGGGACAGGGAAAAATCCTGATTTCAACCTACTCAACAGTGATTTTCAACCTCAGAATTCACAGGGGTTTTTTAAGTCACCTGAAAAGGATAATGGTGGAAAGCAAATGTGCGAGACATCTGCATCTCAAATACAAGCTTTGCTTATTTTCATATCATGAAGAAGATTGCAAACCGGTATAGAACAACAAATTCAAGACTTCAGCAAGCTCTGTTTCATCCAGTGACTCACCACCACTGCTCTTCCTTCCACTGCTATCAAAAATGCCAGATGGAACTTTCACAATACTGTTACCCCAAGCAGGTGGGTCTGTTGGACTACGAATTTCTACATTCAGCTGTTGCTTTTCATTAGATTTTTCAGTATAAACTTCTAGAAAAAAGAGAATGTGAACTTTAGTTAATTTAACTAAAATATTTCATTTGCACTGTTACGGAAAACAAACTCAAATGCTTTTCCCTTATGTAATTATAAACTAAAGAATCAGTCTTACTAGGTACTGAGCATTTCTTGGAAATAATAGCCAGACAGATGACAGCAGGCAGTATTATGCAGAGTGTGCTTAGCTGTTCACAAGGTTAGAAGAAATGCCATTTTTTTCCCTTGGTATTTTTTTAACTAACCAAAGTAGAGCAGGAACAGAGTTCTCAGATTTACATGCAGGGTTACTTGTCTAATGACAACTTTAGAAGCCCTAAATCAGACTAAGGATCTAGTAACACAGATATGAAACAGACTCAGCAATTAGAAAGACAAAATACAGAAAAACTAAGGGCAAAATCTGGATAGAAGACAGGAGATGACCATATCTTCTACAGCTGGGAAGAGATGGTAGGAAAAAGTACTGCCTTTTATTCGGTCAACTGGATCATTTTTTTAGCTGTACAAGTTTTCACATACACAAATGAGAGGAATGGAATCCAAAATACTGTGTACCCCAGAACTTGTCTAATTTTTCCATGTTAAACTAGTCTAATAAAAGGCTATTTCTACCTATATGTATTCCACTGCTATTATCTAGGGCACAAAAGTAGTCCACCAGATTTCATACAATCATATTTTGACCTTAGCAACATTATGAATTCAATACATTATGTATCTGTGATGGTCTAATCCATGAAGAAGATGTATTACAAAAAACCTTTATCAATGTAAACAAGCATACTTAACCTCCTATTAGGTCTTCAGCTTTAGAAGAAATATTTTTCTCTGCTTGTGTTTCAGCTGCATGAAGACTATCCCCATCATTTCTTAAAAGTTCATCTTTGGATCCATAGCCCTGGTCTGACTGACCACCTGTTTGAAGGAATACAAACATATGCCTCAGATTTGTTTTTCTCTCCTAAATTTATTTTCCAATATGAAAATAAAAGAACTGAAAATTAATTTGTTTCACACTTTGTTTCAACAGAAGAGTTCATATTAAGACCACCAAAATGCTCAGTCTGTGCACAGACAGATCTAATTGGTGATAGTGACAGCACAGATAATTAGGCTACAATCCAAATTTACTTTTCTAATTATTACATTAAATACAAGTTATTTCCCCAGGAACACTATACTGACTAATTACTTTTAATGCACTGTATGTCCTTACATTACTTTCCCTTCTCATTAGCATAAAATATTTAATTGCTGGGCAAGCTAAATTCTCAAACGCATCTACAAAAGAAATTTAGACAAGAACAACAGTAATTGAGCAAACTTCTAACAATGAATATATCCCAGAACTGTTCAATAAACTGTGCTACATCTTTGTGCTATAGTGCAAAGTATAAAATGTAATAGAAAAAAAGTAAAAATTTAAACATTTAAAAAAGACTGCTCTTCCATGATACCAGTTAAACTTGACAGCTCTAACTGTAGTTTTACAGTAGTGCAAAAAGTCTGCCATAGGAAACAATCCAGAAAAATACTCTTTTATTTGTTAATTTTTATCTGAAGTGCTGCTGCATATGCAAAAATACAAAAATATTATATGGAACATATCCCACAGCGACGTGTTAAACAGAATTATTTAAATGCCTTAGAGTACCTATTAGAATACATGATGATATTTATAAAGATCAAAGTGTAAGTAAATTACTGAGTGTGAAAGGTATTAGGAAGCTCCACAAAACTCGAGTGACAGACTTAATTTATCTACAGTACATATTACTGTTGTTTATTTTGCCAACAGAGTAAACAAGTAAAAAAGAATGATATTTAAAAGTTTGAGTAGCCATCATTTATTAAATTTGGCTTCTATATTAAAAACCTTTTCTCCAGAAAAGTAAGTTCTGACATTATTCGGTCCTTATTTTCTCTCTATCATCATTTCAATAATGTTAGTATTCCTGCTTTGCATAGAAGTGAAACACCCTATCAGTAAATGGGTGAATTACCTTCAGAAGTAACATTCAAGGGTAGAAATAATGCACACGTGCATCCAAGGCTTCACACCATTTAAGTCTGCACCCCACACCATGATAGCCAAGGACAAATGCGGCACCCAAGAGACAGCAAAGAGCAAAAAGCAGAGTAACAAAGAGCAGAGAGAAGGGAAGTTCAGTAATCTAGGCAGGCATATCAGATGAAGCATAGGAATCAAGACTCAAAAGTTCTTTTTACAGAAGAGCTCAAGGTATTAAAAACACAGAGTGTGAAAGAACTGTTTGTACATTAAGTTTTGAAGTACACATGAAAAGGAAGTTTAGTTGAGCCTATGCACAGGTAGGATGCAATCAGTACTAAAGCAAATATGAAGAACCATGAATTTTGTCTTGCCATCTCAAGTGATTAACTTCCTGTGCACTCCCTTTCTATACACTTCTTTTACTCCAGTTTGTCTGGAAGAGTGCACACCACGTTTAAGGCAGGACTTTTTCTCCACTTTATCATCTGTTTTTCCATTCCCAGGGTGTTCTGATAATTTCTATATTTATCTCCAAGTCTAGCAACTTAAGAAACAAGAAGCAAGAACTTAAGCAACTTAAGAAGCTTGAATTATGGCCTTTAAAATCATAGTTTGCTATAAACAAACATAACATACTAATTCCAGGAATGCTAATTAGGCCTTTCTGGATTACCATCAAGGAGCAACATTTTAAGTGAAGTGTTAGCTTCTAATCACCTCAGCAACTTTTACTCCTTTCCTTTAATGCAGGGAAAAGTCTTACTCATGCAGACTATCATTTCTATGAATACATGACAATATGCAAAAATTAACCGGATTCACATGTCAGAGGCTTCATACCTCTTCTGAAGCTTAGCACAAAAGCAAGGTTCATGAGACCACAGCAAGACATTTATTTTAACACAAGAGTACTTCTGCTACAGTTCACTCTAACCTAAAGAAACTGTGGTAAAGGAGTAATATTCAACAGCAGTGGTGTTCTTCACATAGTTTAACTTCATGCTTCATTCCCTACAGCTCAGGAGGGGAAGGTTGTGGTTGGGGAGGGGAAATCAACAGGTCACTAGAAAATTTAGCCTTTTGGGGGACTGTTAGTAGTGAAACCCAGCAGAATCTAGTACCTGTGCTAGAGTGATTATCAATGGAATCAAGCCTGACTAAGTCACTGACGAAGAGAGTGTGCTCCCCACTGTTAGCATCATTAGAACTATCCACGCTACCATGGCTCACCATGTCCCCATCACTTCCACCCGTGGTACTCCGCAGAGCTAAAGACATGAATGAGAGCTGGTTAGTAAGAGAGGATTTAACTTCTCAGTTATTTTTTTAAAAAATCTACCCTCTTCAGACAACAGTAAATACTTTTACTTGCACATATTAGACTATGAAATTCTAGTAGCGGAATTTAATCAATTCTTCAGTGTGCAAAAGACATTCCAAGACTGTTTCAATCATCAAGTTGGCAATTAACAATTTTTATACACTTAAGGAAAGATTTTCCACTTGTAAAAGCCACAATGTTAGCTGCAGTCCCTCAGAAAACATGTCATGCTCTCATTCAGCAGAAATAAAACCATTTCAGCTAACTTATTACCTGATATCACAGGTACTCGTGGGTTCTGCGCTGATTTCTTTAAGCACTGCCTAAATTGTGCTGTGCCACGAACTACATTTCGTACCTTTGTCCACAGGAATATGCCACTGCGGTTACTGCTAGGCCAAGGAGACTCTAAAACCGCCTACATAAAGAGACATTGCAATAACAAAAACAGTAACAAAGTTACACTAAGAAACAGTGCAGTGAGAAGCTTCTCCTTCCATACTCAAGGAATTTCCTGTCCCTCATCTGAATGACAAATATTTGAGTTTTTATGAGCTGTTCCCTTTTATGAGTGGTTCCCTTTTATCCCACAGCTCTGGATACAATAGCTGAGTAACAATGAACAATAGATCAAGATTTCTTCAAGTAAACAAGGTGGGTTTTGTTCTTATTTACATACTTAGGTAACAACAGAAGATCAGTTTAGCACTTCCTTTCCTATCACTTTACACAGTTTCTTATATTACTGGAGCTCGGAAGCAAGAAAAAGAGGGGGAGGTTACTACAACTAGCCTAATTCTAGCCTTGATACATCTTGCATCCTGCTACCTTAAAGAATACACCCAGGAACAGATGGTTTTGACATGGAAGCACTAGACAGGTTCCAAACCTTGGAAATGGAAACACTATAAATGTGTGGTTCAACAGAATTTTTGGTTAGCTTAACGGTGTAAAACCATAGTGTAGGTCCAGTTAACTATAAGCATGTCCAAAATGCACTGCTTGCCCAACAGAATCAGCAAATCCAAGTGAAGAGCCGTAAGTAACAATCTTCAAAACATGCTACAGGACAAGAGGAGTGACAACAGCAAGACATTGGTCCAGTATCCCTTGTAAAGACTTCTCTTACCTTATTGTAATAACCATAGGTGATGGCATTTGGCTGTATTCCAGCATTTTTCATTTCAAAGAGGACTCTCACAGCCTGAACCGGCTGACCCCACAGTCCACAGAGCTGCATTACAACTCTGTAGCAGACCTGACAAGATACAGAAATGCATAAATGGACTGATGACAAGGATTTTTAAACAGTTTAAGTTCTTCCTTGATTTCCAACTTTTACACATGTAGAAGAGAAAGCAGCTACTCAGTACATAACAACAAACAGAAGACGGAGCAAAAATTAAACAAGAAATCACACAAGATGAAATTACATCAGCAGTCACATTGTTAAGAATGCTAATTTTTTTTCCACTTAGCTCTTCTGTTTTTGAAATAAAGGAGGGAAGGAAATGCCCACACAAAAACCAGGATAACTTCTATTGTGTGCCTGTGGATGCTACTGAAAGAATGGTATGCTGCACACAAACCCATTATTCCTTCAGTTCACTAAGGCTGTAAAGCATTAATTCAAAGTGCATTGAAAAGCAGGGATATTCAGAACTTCCTTCTTGAAGAAGTCTGGGAATAGCCACACTAAGTTGGAGTACTTGACCCAGCTGACACGTGCTGGTGATGAAAAAGGAAATGAACTTCCAGTTGCCCTAGATTATTTTAAGGTGGCTTTAAAACAGGTTAAACTGTAAGGATGCTTAACCTGGTGGTGGTGAAATACACTATATTTGCACCTTGTCTTCTATTCCACGGTTATGGTAACTTTTTTTTTTTTATTTGCACTTACCTCATCTAGTGGTTCCACATCAGTTTTCCTCATTTTAATTAGAACATCATATGCCTGCTGCAGTGCTTTCACCTTAGGATGTGCAACTCTGATGTAGGCTGGCAGACAAATAAACCATAGGCTGTAACTATGACTGAAGAGACACTTAGCCCACTGTGGGGGGCTTACGTAATACTTCTTGGCTAATTTATGGGCTGTTTTTATCTCCTGTAAGAGCGAAACAAAACACAAAAGCAGACAAACATGTAACATCCTGAATCTAGAAGACATTATTAAGTCAGATACTAGCTTCTTAAAAGTAAGTGTTTAATAATAATAGACAAACATTCAACTGAAGCTCCCTTCTGCAAGGAAAAACCAGCATCAGAATCAATCCTCTTTTTTCCTCCTTCCCCATTCAAGCATTATTTTTAATTTCCTTTTGTTTTATATTACAGTTTGAAGCTTAAAAATGGGTTTGACAATAAACTCAGGTGCTAATTTTATTTGTTGCCTTCTGTTTCTTTCACAAGTGTATATTCTCAATGGTTACAAAGACCTAACTTGTAAAAACATTAACTTATAGTATAGATAGGTAGCGGCAATTTTACAAAAAACTCCGTTATCTTTCAGTATTTGCACAATGATTACAGTGAGATTCATCTGACCTGTTTTGTCCTCTTTGCCATGAGTGCTGGACTATTGGAAATGCTGCTCCCAGCTGGGTGTCTGCTGAAGGAGAGTGTGAGCTCCTGTGGCCTGTCAAAGAGCTTGAAATCTAGTCGTGGGAAGTTTTTATAGCTATATAGACGATTAAAAAAAACAGAAAAGGAAAGCTTTTCACTACCTGCTGATAGCAGAAAAGCTGTACAAAGACAACCTGTGTGCAAAGAACTGACAAACAGGAGAATAAGGAACCGGGAGCGGGGGGCAAAAAACAAAAGGAAAGAAGACAGCAAGATCCTTTTAGTCTTATTCACAAAGATATCACAAGATGCCTTGGACATTAAATCTCCACTGACAATGGAAACAAGAACCAGACTACCATCCGTATCATGAAGGTCAGATAAGCACAGATGATGATTAACAAGGACAACAGTTGGAAACAGAACCTTTGTGACCTCCAAGAGAGAGAGGAAGAAAAAAAGTCATACCCAGAGTGTCTGAAACTCCACACTTGCTGCACAGGGCTGAAAAACACTGAATGAAACAAGTCTGAAAACTGGAGTGGGTGTTTTGTTCTTTTGGTTTATCAGCTGCAGATCAACAGTAGTGGGCATATCCATTACCCACCCCCTGTCATCCCCACTGTGAAACAAAGTGCACTGTAATTGCTACAAAATACACATGGCTCAAACAGGAAGAAAGACACTGAATACATGTAGAAAAAGTATTACTATAAAGTTAGCAAGAAGTTACTGAAAAATCTGAAACCAAAATTCACACATCCTGAAACATACACACACACAAAAAACATTGACTTCTAGAGCTTCAGAATCTTACCAGAATCCAAGAGTTTGTATCCTGTTAAAGATTCTTCTGAATATTAAGGCAACTCTTGCACCAAGACAGAACATCTGGCCTGCTTAATGTCATAAGCATTCTAGTTTCATTATATTTGGCTGTTTGACCTGTACCTGTATTTTGGCACTCGGTCCTGTCCATCATCAGCAGGAGGTTCTGGTGGCATTATGAACACTGTGTGTTCACTTTTTTGTGACTCATCAAGCTCAATTAACCGTGTATCTTCAAGAAAATCTACATCAACCTAAGAAAGACAGTTCGTATTCTAAGTACAGAGTTTGGCTTTGGGATACAATGTCCTTTTTAACATTAACTATGTAAGTGTATGTAAAAATGTATTTAATACTCTATTTGATTATATATATAATATATAAAAGAAATCATATTTGTTCTAATTACTCAAATATCAAGTCCACAGTCTTTCTTTTCACAATCAGATATACCTAAACATTTTGAAGGACAAAGTACCTTCTCTCATTTTTCTGTTCCTTTATCCAGAAAGAGCTGAGGGAGGTGGAGGCGAGTGGGTGTGGGGTGAGAGAGAAAAACAGTTTCTTCTCAACTCAAAAAAAATCCAAATTAATAAATCTAATAAAGCTGTGTCATTTACTGAAATATTAAATACAAACCACTAAATTTTCATATTACTGTAAAGCAATTAGTGTCCTTTTTATATACTTCCTTTGCTGAAAGTAATAAAATGCAGTAATCAGCATGCTTCCAATCTGTTGACATTATCTACCAAGTACAAAATCCTAGATCTATTCAACCAAAGTGCTTTCATTTAGTTCAATTGAAAGAAACTGCTGTTTTGCAGATACTTGCAATATGACAATTTAAATATGCAACACAATAATAACATGCAATAATATCAAATTCTTAACAGTATTAGATGAAGTATACTCTAGATGCCTAACTCATACTCTGCAGGAAAAAAAAAAAGGCAAAAAAAGTTTTAAACACTTATTTTGTGGTCTGTTTACAAGTGTTAATTTGACCAGAATCAATATTGAATCCAAGGCTTATTCTATAAGAACTACGTATGAAAAATGAAGGTTCTGTCCAGAAAGAATCATATATATATACCCCTTTAAAAAAATACATATAATTCCCTAGCTCATAATTTTTATATTGTGAACTTGGCATTTTACAGATGAAGCTAAAAACTCAATAACCCATCTAGACCAGAACCACACTGAAGAGTCTCTGTTTCAAAAAACAAGAATGGGTTACAGCAATCTTTCTCATATAAAATACAGGCAATTGAAAGGGAATCTTATCTACATAAACCAGTTTTGACCGCAAGTGGAGCACTAGGCATGTTTTAGTGTTTTAAGTTTAAATTGTGTGAAAAAGAGCAACAACGCAGATGACCACTGGTAGATAATGTGATTAACATTTAAAGGGAAGACATGGATGGCATTGAGCTACTGTCATCTACTTTTATTCCTCATCCTGTCTTATAGCCTGAGATACTACAGAGCTTTAATGGAAGTTTTCTGCATCAGCACAGAAAATGATGGCCATGCAAGAAGATGAAGAAAGAAAAATGACTCAGCAAAAAAACACCAAGAATCTCAATCCCTCAAAACACTTGCTATAGAGGGTATCTACCTTTACAACTAAAAACTAGGACAGTAACACAAAATGAACAGAACCATATAATTTAAGAGTATTGCTAGATTTTTCACCTTTTCAATACAGTCATCAAAAAATGCCAAGCCAGTATCCTTGTCACTCACAAAACTGCATTCTTCAATAAAGCGGCTGAATATCTGTGTTTTGGTGAGATGCGTGTAGAACTTTGTATAGGCACGGTCTCTGCTTTTTAAAAATCCTGATTATAAAAAGGAACACACAACTAAATAGCAGTTACTAATACACAAAGTATTTGCTTTATCAATAAAAAGAACTACTTATCACTACTTGCATTTGGAAGATTAATATAACAGCTTTTTTTTTTTAATAATTATTTTTCACTACAGTTAACAATACTTGGGAAGCAATCATCTGCATGCAATCAGCCCACTGTGTTTGCTGACCTTGTGTGCAAGAAAAAGGAGATAACAACCTCGTACAAAAGCAAAAGTATCTAATATTTAAAACAATACTAAAACAAAAATTATGAAATCCTAACAGGTGATGGGCCTGAAAATATTTAAGGCTTTCCAAACCTCTGACTAAAAATCTCTTGTCAAATCTCTCTTCCAGTAATTAAAACAAAAATCAACACCACCACACACCCCCCCCAAAAGCCCCAAAACACCACCACCATCACCACATACAAAACAAAACACCTGTGACATTCAACTCATGAGCAGAGCTGAAAAGTTAAGGTGATGAGAAAAGATGACCTTTGCTGACTATTGTTTTGTTATGTTTCCAATCTCTGCCTTGTTCTCTATTATCTTCCCATTTATATCAAGAACATTACTCTGTTCTTCACTACTGGGCTTCTGGCATTTTTGCTCAGTACAAATGGAGAAATATTCTTTCATTACCAAGAGCTGCCCTCACAGATTATATCACACACAGAGGGTATCCTTTTACTGAAAGACAACTTTTCTAATACCAGAACAATTGTAGAACTGCAATTCTATGTGCATTTATCTGTTTCACTTTATACAATTGCTAATTGACCTTTTGAAGTTAAGGAGCTCCTCAACCCTAAAGTTGTAACACCGCCAATGCTATCAGCAGCTGGTTTGCCTCATCCTCACCTTGATGATCAAACAAGGAATCAGCAGCAGTTGCTTTATTTGAAGGCGCCTGTGTGATTGGCTTAAGGAATGTTCTGTAACCCTTTAAAATAGATGCCATGAAACGGAGAAAAGCTTCCTGGATCTCCATCTCAAGTTCTATCATCTTCTTCTGCCAGGAGAAATCTGCCTCAATAGGAGTCATCTCCACTGCAGAGCCTTCTTGGGTTTTCCTGTGAACTAGCAATGAACAACACATACAATCCTACGTGAAAATTCAGTGCATTAAAACAGGTAAATTCTGCAAGATGCCGAAGAGGGATTTTTTTTTCTACTTGCCCCTATTCACAAGTGACAAATACTAGAAATCCTGTGATTATTTTCCAATTGATCTGGCTGATACAAAAGGCAGGTTACCTGAAGAGTTGTGTTTTCTAACTCATCTCACCCTCTGGGACATGAAACAAGGAGGATCTCGGTTGAATGTAGTCTTTCAGTAATACATCAACACAAAGGACCATGTTTTCCCTGTTCTGAAGATTACACATCTAGAAAGAAAGGGCCTAAAGCTATTTTTCCAATCAAAATTCTAACATTTGACTGTTCCAAAGGGTAGAGACAACTAGATGACATTCAGAGTTTACTCTTGCACTCTTAAAAAAACAGTAGCAGGTACTGCTGAAAATTATAGTTCCACACTTTTTATTATTACAAAAATATCAGTTATCATAATATATTTATATGTAAATATAAATAACATATCTATTATAATACAGCCCAAATTGAAAAAACAGATGTGTAGAAAAGACCACTGGTTCTGCTCAAGGTAAAATTAAGAAGTAGTTCTACATTAGGTAGACTGCATGACACACCCTGCTGATAAAACCAAGAGAAAAGTTGAGGTTTTCTAATAGATGAAGTAAAGGCTATCTGCAAAAAGAAAAAAAATTATAGAAAATCAAGGCAAGAACACCTTCCTCTTAATTAGTGCATTTTTCTGTTTCTGTAACTTACAGAGTTTGTATATCTTGTATACCTGAGAGTTCTCCGTAACAACCTAACATACTCCGAATCAGTGTACCTTGAAGAGCTACAGTCATAAAGAAGCAATACCTGAAAACTGTTAGGTCAGCACAACTTTAGTCCTACCTGTCCAAGTCATTAGGCTGAAGAAAACTTTTTCTTTATCTCTTGACAAAATACTTTGTCAAAATTCAGCTAATCGATTTTTTTTTGTAGAAAAGTCTTTATCTGAGATACTCAGCAGCCGTATCTGCACAGTAACTGAGATATTCAACATTATTTTACTCATATTGCCATTTCCTCTATTAGTTTTATCATAACTGTGAATATTGTTTTAGGTCAAGATCCAAATATGTTTTAGCTGAATCTTTGTTTAAATATGATTTAATCATGAGGAAAGACTAAAAAAACAAAAAAAAAAAACACCCTCAAATTTTAGGAAGACACAGCAAGAAAAGTCTAAAAAAAAAAAAATCACACCACATATGATAGAAGGAAGTCTTTACCTTTATATACTAATTATAAGTTAAGACTTGAAGGTATCTATCAGAAAATTTAGTGAAGGTGTCTATCAGAAAATTTAGTAGTTTTCTTTGAATAATTACTCTTCCTGATTTAGGCAGTTTTTGTTCTTAACCCTTCCCATTTTATTCTATATATTTCACCTGCTGCCAGCTGTGGGTGCAGTTTCTTTAAGGTGCTGAGCAGACTTTTACATGGCTTCTTAGGAAACTGCTTCCAGTTGGTGCTCTTCTTATCATCTGATCTAAACACGGGGGAGAGAAAATGGGATATATAAAATACAGACAATATATAAAAAAGAACAGCTTCCACAGCCCTAAGTTGCTTCATTTTCAGAATGTAACTAAAAAATTATTTTGAAATCTTGTCACTGTCCCTATTTGTATAAAACAAAAATGGGAGTGACATAACTCAGAATTTCATTTCCTCAGCTATAAATAAAGCTATGAGCAAGAGTTTTCTCCAGTCTGTATGGAGGATGTCCATTAAGATTTGATTTAGACCTTTTAGTTGGAAGTTTCACTTAGCTGATTTTCCTTTCACAATTTTTATCAGTCTTGCTAATATAATTTAAGCATACTAATCTGTATGTGATTACTACGCAAAATTTATACTATCAGAAACTTGCCATACTGCTTCTGATAAAGATAAAGGCAGTTCGAAATACAGCATGAACTTGCCATTGCAAAATGCTGGAAGACCAGTCTGGTAGCTTTATGTTCATATGGTACACTGTAACATATCTATGGCAACTCAGTTCCAGCTTCAACGACAGACTAGCAGGGACTAGGAAGATTGAGAATTCAGTTCACAGTATGAAAATTATGTGGTTGATTAAGCAGTGGAGTAAATTGGCCTCAAGAGATGCTCATCTTTGTTCAAAGGACAATGGGTATAATGCCAGATCTTGATTAAGCAGTCAGATATAAACACAGAGAGTACAGAGTACAGGATCACAGAATCACTAAAGTTGGGAAAGACCTTTGAGATCATCGAGTCCAACCATCAGCCCTACTCAACAGAGTTCTCCCCTACACCATATCCCCCAACAGCTCATCCAAACAACCCTTAAACACATGCAGGGATGGGGACTCCACCACCTCCCTGGGCAGCCTGTTCCACTGTTTGACCACTCTTTCTGTGAAAATTTTTTTTCCTAATGTCAAGTCTGTTGCAGTTTAAAACCATTCCCTCTTGTTCTGTCACTAACATCTGAAAGAAGAGACCAGCACCAACCTCTCTACAATGTCCTTTCAGAGAGTTGTAGAGAGTGATGAGGTCTCCCCTCAGCCTTCTCCTCAAACTGAACAGTCCCAGCTCCTTCTATCGCTCCTCACAGGATTTATTCTCCAGGCCCTTCACCAGCTTCGTTGCCCTCCTCTGCACTCGCTCCAGCACCTCGAGATCTCTCTCGTACTGAGGTGCCCAAAACTGGACTCAACACTCCAGGTGTGGCCTCACCAGAACAGAGCACAGGGGGACTGTCACCTCCCTACTTCTGCTGGTCACACTATTTCTGATACAAGCCAGGATGCCATTGGCTTTCTTGGCCACCCGTGCACACTGCTGGTTCATGTTCAGCTGCTTGTCAATGAGAACCCCCAGATCCTTCTCTCCCAGACAGCTCCAGCCACACCGGCCCAAGCCTGTAGCCATGCAGGGGGTTGTTGTGGCCCAAGTGCAGGACCTGGCACTTGGCCTTGTTGAAGCTCATCCTGTTAATGTTGGCCCACTGATCCAATCTATCTAAGTCTCTCTGTAGAGCCTCCCTGTCCTCATGTAGATTGACACTCCCACTTAACTTGGTGTCATCTGTGAACTCACTGATGATACGCTCTATGTCATTACCAAGATCATCAACAAGGATGTTGACAGAAATGGTCCCAACACCAAGCCCTGAGGAACACCCCTTGTGACTGGCCGCCAGCTGGATTTATCTCCACTGACCACCACACTCTGGGACCGTCCATCCAGCCAGTGCTTGACCCAGCAGACCATGTGCTCACCCAGGCCATGGGCAGCCAGTTTTTCTATAAGAATTCTATGGGGAACTGTGTTGAATGCTTTCTGAAAATCCAGGTAGACAATATCCATAGCTTTCCCCTCATCTAATAGTCATGTCGTCATAGAAAGAGATCAGGTTTGTCAGGCAGGACCTGCCTTTCATAACCCCATGCTGACTAGGCCTGATCCCCTGGTTGTCCATTATATGACTTTTAATGGCACTCGAGATGACCTGCTCCATGGCCTTCCCTGGCACCGAGGTCAGACTGACAGGTCTATAGTTTCCTGGATCCTCCTTTCTGCCTTTCTTATAGATGGGCGTCACATTTGCCACCCTCCAGCCCAACGGGACCTCCCCAGTCAGCCATGACTTCAGGTAAATCATGGACAGCAGCTTGGAGAGCACCTTTGACAACTCTTTCAGCACCCCTGGGTGTCACCCATCCTGTCCCACAGACTTGTGTGCATCCAAGTGGTGCAGCAGGTCTCTGACCACCTCCTCTTCTGCTGTGCTGACCTCAGTCTGCTTCCCCTCCCCATCTCCCAGCTCATGAGGCCGGGTATCCAAGAAACAGCCAGTTCCACTGATAAAGGCTGAGGCAAAGTAGGCGTTGAGCACCTCAGCCTTTTCCTCATCCTTAGTTACCATGTTTCCCTCTGCATCCAGTAAAGCAGGGAGATTTTCCCTAATCCTCCTTTTGCTGTTAATGAATTTATAGAAACATTTTTTATTATCCTTAACAACTGTAGCCAGGTTGAGCTCTAGCTGTGCTTTGGGTCTTGCTCCATAGCTTCTTAGTAAATCCTGAGAAATTCCATGTCTCTTTCTGGTAGAAGGATGGGGAGAATTGCTGTAATAAGGAGTACAACAAACCTTGTGGCCACAAGACCTTATCAGTTATTACTATCTGAGCTGATGCTGTCACCACTTGTTTTGTACTTTGCACCAGTGAAATGTTTGCTCAGTTATTATTTGCTCAATTGGCACTGACATAGAACTATCTTAGGAAGGAAACCAAAGTTTCATGAGTTAAAGAAAAAATGCATGCTTACAGATGCCTTTGCCCATTTTTTTCCCCCACCATAGTGATATGCTTATAAACCATTTAAGTGGTACTGTTCCAAAAATGCAAGGAGAAATATCCTGCTATAAAAATAAAACAAATTCTCAAATCTTTGCCCTAATAAGGCTACTTCCCTTAGCCAGCTTTCAATGTTACTTTCACAGAGATAGCTGAAAACATCCATAAAAAGGCATTAAGGAAGATGCTGAATGAATAAAAGGCCTTCAGTATTTTCTGGCAGTGAACAAAGCTTCAGTCTATCACACAGAAGATAGCAGCAAAGCTGCTCTAAAAAGACACTAGACACAGACTAATGTAGTAAAAAAATACTGAATTTTTCAAATGTTATTCTTCTACTACATAGTCTTTCAAAGTTAGCAATGGTGCTGTTAAATGCTTTTACATCTAAAAAAAAACCCCAAAAAACAACAGATTTGCCACAGAAATAAAGAGGGACAGAAACAGACATGGATTAAATAAAATAGAAAGAACATTAATTTTTACTCACTAATAGTGTAGTATTTTAGAATTCTCAATTATTTTCAATACAAAATGCTTTACGGAGATTTGGTTTTATCTAAAAGTCTCCAAAATTGAAAAATGTCCTCATTTTCAGGTTTAAAAAAATTTATAATGCAGGTACCAACATCTCACATATACCCAAGTCAAATGTTACAGATGTCAAATTCATCTGGAAGTCAAGTAAGTGGTACAGATGAGATATATGCAACATGGACAGCAAACAAAGAAAAAGATCAGTTGACTAGTGAAAGAGAAATGGACCTATAAGACAGTAAAAGAAAAGGTGCAACAATCTTTCCAGTTGAGTGTCTCTTAAGAGAACAGCCATTTGTAGATTTTTAGTTCAGTAATCAATCCAAGTAAGGTTGGTACTTGGTCTTTCTAGCAGATCCCAACAGAATCCTGACATTCTTATCTCCCTGTTAAATTCCCTATTTCTATCCCCTTCATTTTTCTGCAACCCAATCTTCAAATTCCATTCTACTTATGAACAAAAACATTCAGGTGGTTTTCACTGCAAATATCTTCATATAAAGTTATCTTTCTTGAGTTTCTTTAATACATTCTTCTTTCACAACACTTATTATAATTATTCTTTTGGTGGCATAATACTTTGATATACAGTGATGAGAATGCTTTTAGCAGTGTTTTTAATGGTGACCTAGGGGAAGGAGAAAAAAACAAATAAAAAAATAAACAATCTGCTCCACTGCTTACTATTTCCTTTGATGCTACTAGTAAAACAAAGCATTTCAGTAATGTAAAGGAAACATTTGCTTCAGTAGAGGAAGGGTCCTTTGAACAATGAAAATCAAGAAAGCATTCAATTGATCCATAGATCAGATGACTAATTCTAATTAGTAAAAACAAAAGGGTTAAGAAGTGACATGAGATGAATTAAAACTATTTTCACACCGAAAAGATGTGCACTTTATTTAGGGATGTTCACCATCATCTTGAACTAGCTTAAATGCCTTTTTGTATTTATGACCTAACAAATTTAAAATTGAAAGGTAATTAGTAAGTTACTGAATTCAACACCTGAAGAAACTGATTTTCAGTTATTTCTATTCTCATTTAGATATATTACAGCAAAACAGAAGAGTTACTCGATTAGCCTCTCCTCAAGAAACTGCAAAGAAACTGTTCATGCAACACTTTCATTTTAAGAAAAGCATTAAAAACCTGGTAATTAAGAGAAAATATTTTAGATTAAATACAGTCAAGACACCAAATTTTGCTTGATCTCACCAAAAATTTGACCCTTGTAACTGGAGAACAATTTATTAAGACTAACATAAAATGCCCCAAGTGCAAGACAGCATCAAAACCTGTCATGAATGGTCCCAAAGCACTCCTGTTCATAGCAACAGTCACTGAACACAGGCAAACCAAATCCCAACGTGGCAGGTCAGGGTGAAAATGTAAGAAATGGTGGGGCAGGGAAAAAAACCCCAAACGACAAACTCTTATTCCTCTTTTCTAGCTTATGTACCATTTCCTTAATAAGCAGTACTAGAAATGGAAAAACAAAAAACACATTACCATTGTTACTAAATTTATAGCAACATCTACATCACTTTTTTATAGGCAGTGCCAATGTTGACCCTTGAGTTCGGAAGTTTTAATTTGCTATGAAGCATTAGTAATGAGAAAAAGCACAGAGGACACTAAAATATGAACCATATTAGATAAAACAGTGCTAGTTAGTATTGGTTTTATCTCCTGAGCATCTCAGCAATCTCTCCACCTGCAGATAAATGTAAAAACTCCATAAAACTTACATGTACACCATGTTTGTGTCTAAGTCAATGCACACAATATCCTGTGGTGGATCGTACAGATCAAAGTATCGTGAATCAACTCCAACAATAAATGGAACAGGTGCACTGAGTACGGTGGCCAGAGACAAAGGACAGAGGGGGATATATGGACACTGCCACTGAAATGGAAATATCATCTGAAGGAAAAATTAAAGGAAATCAGCACATTAAAACAAGACAACAGATACTGAACAATAAAAGCCAAGAAGTTACATGCAGCAAGTTGAAATTAAATTGCTAAAAGGCTTGTAACACTGTCAGAAAGGAGTCTTTCTGTAATATAATAATAATTTAATAATAATTTAATATAAATATATATAATAACAATTTAATGTTATAATAATAAAAACATAAATGTAAATTAAGTTTAACCACTTATTTATAGTACATCTCTTAGTTACCTATGCAAAAATGTTTATCATTCTAATAGTTATAAGACATGCTAGGGCACCTTAACTAAATGCTACTGCTGGGAAAAATTATCATAGTGTATCAATCATTTTAACTTTAAAAAGCCCTGTAACAACTGTGGAGTTTGTACTGATTTCTCTCACTCTGTACAGAAAACTTTGTACTTACAGCTACCACAGCTTCAGCAACTCCTGTCAACACAGCTGGTCTAAGAGAATGGAGGAGGATCTTGCCTTCTAGTAATACGAAGAGTAACAGAGTGGCACAGTTTTCTGGTCCAAGATTCATGAGCAGAGTGCTAAAGTTTGCTCCACTAAGGTGTGAGTGGGATGGGAGAGGGAGAAAAAGATGTTAGAGGATTTTTAAAAAGTCATTACTATCACACTTCTGACAACTGTTTTAGTCCAACTAGTTGAATGGTGCTAATATTACCACACATCAAATATCTATCTATCCACTTAATAGCTATCACCTCAATATGATACTTTTATCACCACAAAGAAACCTAAATTAAAATTCCATTGCTAAAGAAACATATGCTATACCATGCTACTGCTGAGTTTCTGTTGTTTCTGGCACTCTCTCTCATATATGCACTTGTCTTTATAACAGTAAACCAGATCTAACTGGTTAATTAACAACTAATCCAAGCACAAGTAACACCACTTGTTTCATATAATGGGTTACCTTAGGCAAAATTCATGAACTAGAGTATCCATTTGATCTTAGAATCACAGTTTCAAATTGTAATAGTAGTCAAGTAAAATCAATCTATTATTCTGAGAGTAACACGCCTTTAGTTTCTAGAGCTTAGACTGTTTCATTTGTTTGGACTGCATACTTTTGGAATTGTAGTGATACCTGTAAGAGCACAGGGGATGTAAAATCTGTCCTTAGAAAAGTGCTTACACGTTATTTTTCAGTTTGATGGCTGGTTGTATTTTTTCACTTAAGAGACTGTATAACAGATGTGATTAAACATGGGATACTGCTGCACACAAAATATATGGGGGGGGGAGGGAATTAAAAAGCAAAGACTATTTTAACTTAAAAACAAACAAAAAAATCAGGAAAACCATGCAAACAAAACCCCATGTCACAGTTACAGGGAGCTCCAGCCCAGAAGATGTAGGCAGTATCCACAGAGACTGCATCAACCTTCAAGCAACAAATACCAATTTTTAGGTATAATTTTAAATTTCAAAAATGTTTACATGTTTATGCATTAACTGAATTAACATAACTGCTTGACATAAACATCTCTCTTAGATCCAAAAAAGGGAAAAAAACGAGGTAATAAAAGTCTATCTATGCTATTAAAATTTTTTTTGCTTACTACACGGGTTCTGAAAATACAAGATATTAAAATATTTGTTTTTTCCTCACAGCCTGCTTTTTCTTTCTTTGGAGTTCCTACAATAGTCTGGCAATTCATCTTTATTTCAAGATCAATTTGTGATATTATACTTTCACAAGGGACAGGCCTATGTCCAAAAGACAACATGGTATAATTTTATAAAGGTGTACTGAGCTTTCTGTTTATAAGATCTAAATATTGCATCAATGTTTGGCTTCTTTCTTTCATTCCTATTTGCCTCTGAATTTTTCAGGTTGCAGACATTTAAAGCATTAATAATGATACCTTAATGGCAATGGTGTAGAAACAGGCTGAGACAATATTAATGCATCATGGGCAGAAAGCTGAAACACATAAAGTAGTTATGTGATTGATATGGACAACTCCAAAGTTAATACACTATAAGACTCAAATATAGTATATCCATAGTCCCATAAACTGCCTGGCAGACAGTCACAATGTCATACACAAGACACAAATCAGAGACAGTCTTTGGGACTCATGTTCACCAGGTCAACAGAGCCTGAATTAGTCACTGAAACGATTCTCAGAAGTTATAGGAAACTACCTATGACTCAGTGTTGAACATGTAAGTGCTGCTAGGTGATTAAACAGAGAAACACAAGAGACAGTGCCCTGGGGGATTAACCTTTGACCCACAGTAGTGGGTAGACAAGTGAGAGAAAGACAGAAAACACCCCATCAATGAGGTAATGTAAATGATGCCTATAAAATAAAAGGGTAATATATGGCAGAAATTTCAAAAGTGCAAGTAGGACATTGCTGCCACCCAGACCACTTTAAGTCTGAAATAGTTTCCTTTGCTAAGTTACCCCAGGTTTATACCAAAGAGAGAGAAGTCCAACCCATCCATCTCCTCCCCTCTCCCTTCCAGCAGACGAGTATTCAAAACTGAGTAAAAAGCCTAAAGAAAGAAACCAGGCTTTCAAATGTAAGAAAGAGAGTTTGCCATTATTGTAACTAAAACTGGAAGCAAATGGTTTGCTTACCTGAACAAGAATTCTTGGCCTTTGTGGTGAAGGGAAAGGTATATTGTGCATAAAATGGGATATGTGCCTGAAAAAAAGACAAGATGTTAGAAAACCAGCACCGGGGACTAATCAGGGACTAAACACAATATTAATAATGTTTTGTAATTACTATGGTATGATATTTTTTAAATGGCTGTTAAGATTTACTTACTGTCTTGATAAGTTTAAGAGCCTATTTATGCAAACTGAAATAAAGAAGCTCCATTCACTTACATTCCATGCATGAAAATTAATACTGGCAGCCTCAGATATGTATGCAAAAGATAGGAACACAGTGGTATTTAGGCAAGCCATTTAAAATCCCAGGCAGCCTAACCCCATTTGATAGAGTTTCTAATGAGTCTTAACTCAGAGAAACTGTATACTTCACTGCCAGACATCTAACACAGTTTTGAAGGTAACATTGTCTTTCAGCAAACTTTTAGGACCATGAAAAGCATCCTCTGCAGAGTTTAAACACATACAGTCTGCACTAGTTGAAGTGCTTGAAAACAGACACAAGACATTCATTGCTAATACAGAGTCCCTGAGCTTATATTTATTAACCTAAAATGCAGGACTGCAAACCTTAGGGTGTATCTTGTAGCTTAGTCATTTTGTGTGTTTGATGTAGTTAAGAGAAAGGTAAACAGACTTGACATATTGTAACAGAAAAGCCACAGTAAAATCCGGTTTACTTCCCTGACACCGCAAGAACCATTACCCTTAAACAGAAGCAGCAACAATTTCTATCAGTACAACATAAGCTACACAGTTTAGGCAAGAGAATGAAGCAAATGCAGCAACTGTGACATGTATAAATCACATGACTTCTTGAGCTGATATAATTACTTTCCGACAATACCCTGAAAAATATTTTACATACTTTTCAATGGGAAGAGGATGGGGTCCAGAGACAGAGAGTTTGTAGATGAACATAAGAAATTTTCTAAATGCTTCAAAGAAAGGCCAGTGTGAGAGAAGGCAGATGCACTTGTTGGAATTGATGGACTTGGAAGTAACCACTTTCCTCTCTACAGCTGTCAGGAGACCCAGCTGTAATTGTTGTTTTTCTGTTAGCAGCTCCCGGGGATAAGGCTCATAAAACTGAATAGCAGCACCATAAACCTAAAAGATTAAGAAAAACACCTGAGTGGACCCACTATTTAACAGGAGATTCAGTCAGAACTTTTGAAGCATCCTTATGTCTTTAGTGTTTGCTATAGTGTTTTTGCTGGTAGCTTGTGAAATGACTTTTCATTTATGTAGCATACACAAAATATCCTTATCAACTAAATGCTTTGCATTCTTGTGCCTCTCTTCCTCTTTTTCACTGCACTTTCCTCAACCAAGTGTTCATGGTAGACTGAAGGAATCAAATTGCATGCTGTGACAAAACCCTACCCATTAACTGTTATGGTCAAAAAACCCCAAACCCTCACAAAATGCTTGTGTTCGGTAAACTATCATTACCACACTAAATAAAATTATTTTAGCTTTGACATCACTTCTATTAATCTAAACAGCTACTGACCTTTTCTAATATTCCTTCCCTATTTGTCAGAGTTTCAGAATTAACTGAATTATTCTGGCACACTTAGCAAAAGGAGTTCAGGGAAAGATGGATACCACAGTATACACTGAATCTGAGAAAAATACTGGCAGCTACTTCATTCCTCCTTGCAAAAGCAATATTAATACAAGATGGTTTTGTTGTTTGGATGCAGAGAAGTAAGTTTCCCTTATAGGGGACTGAGGCAGAGTGGAAGTTGAGCTGTTATCACTAATAAAGCCAACTGCTGTTTATTAATCACAGAGAGCTAATCACACATTGCAGTCACTTATTCTCTTGTGCAGTTCACATGCACACACATGGACAGTTGGCAAAATGAAGCAACAGCTGGGAGACCAACCCCAAACAAGGGCTGCCTTGCTTCATCAGGTGTACCTGTAATCCTAGAGCCTCTGTCTGCGTACAGCAGACACTGCCTTCCTGCATGGACTGAGTCATGCAACACATTTTTAGTGCCAATGTGTGCTAGTGGTCTTATATGGATTTAGCAGATGGCTGGTGTTTTGAATCTATCACTTCTGAGAATTCAACAAGATCAGTGGTCTCAGGAGCTCATCAGTTCTTCAGAGCCTTTCACATGCTACTTTTCAGCACATACTTTTCCTCTCCCTGCCCTGCTGTTTCCTGGTAACTGCTTTCCTATTCATGCACATAGATACCTACAGAGCTCAATTAAGCAAATGCACACAGAAGTGGCTTTTAACATAACCATAAGAAAACTGTAAATTAAACATTGCTAACACATGTGGTAAGTGAACAGCTCTTTAACATGCAGCCTACACTTCCATTCAGAGAAACTTCTTACTTGAAAGAAAAGGGAAATCCATGGGTTTGTTAAGTATATGGTTCTGCTTACATGGGACAGCACATACTCTTCCAGCTATTTCCTGGGTTGGTTTACTTACATTTCATACAAACACTTAAAAACCCCAATTTTATAAGGGAAGCATTTAACAAGTTATTTTGTAGTATTTCTAAAATACAGAAGAAACAGTGCCTATTTATCTCCATAGCAGCCATTTGAACTAAAAGCAAAATCTAGTCACAGTTCAGAGCCATACCTTTTCTGCAGAAGAGCAGGTCAGTACAAATGTTGAGAACACTGGCAGTGGATATTTGGTTTGAGGGTCCCAGCACTCAATAGTAGCTCCCATAGGAAGGCAGAAGAGAGGCACAGATTCCGACAGTGGGAATGACTCATAGTTCTCTTGAGGATATCTGAATATTAAGCCTTCAGAATGGGAGAAGGAAAAGTAAGCACATTTGGCTGCAAACCCTAAATAACATAAAAAATATATTTTCCACAATGTACAGCAAAGTCTGGTTATCTGGACTTCATAACTGAAAAGTACATCCGCAGAAGAAGTAAGTCTTACTTTCAGATGAGAGGCTAAGTCATACAAGTAACAATAATTTTTAAATTGTATATGAATACTGAAGCACTCCCTTTTGGTAACTGTTGAAAAAACAGTACATAGTAAAAACTAATTTACGTTAAACCAGCTGGGAATTCCTGTGCTATTTAAATGTGTCATTGGAATGGTACAAAGAAATTCTTATGAAGAAAGTGATAATTTATCTACTGTAAAAGGAGCAACAATAAGTCCATTCAAAATAGTATGATCTAGCTGACTGTCCATAATTTCTGCTAATCCATCAATATGTTCAATGTAAACAAACTGTTTATTCAGTTTTCAGCTTTCTTTACTACTGCTGTTCACCTAGCTTATTTTATGGTACAGGGACTTCATCATATATGCTTTCCATATCTACTTGGTAGTTTACTCCTTTCAAAGAAACTTGGTGCACTTAGTGCTCAGTAGAAACTGTTTTGAAAGGTTTTTTTGACTTCTTCAGAAAAAAGATAATATGTAGTAATGCATTAAAAAAACTTATAAAAAACAGACTTAAAAGGATTTTTGTCATTTATTGTTCATAATATTTTTCACTCTCCTCAAATAAGAAACAAGTGAACAGTTGTGGAACTGAAGGGAAGAAACATTAAATTTTCAAATAAAATGGAAGACATTGCATTAGCTCTGAAACATAAAAAGAAATCAGTAAGGTTAAATGGAATTTTTAATTACTCCTCCTCCATCACCACCAACACAAGAAATGTGAAGTGTTTTGTTACACCTGAAATCCTTGCTAAGCTTTCTGGTGAAGCTCCTAAGCTACCAAATCTGTCATGATAAGAACTAAATTAATACAGAACAATGCTACTTCTATTAAGGCTTGGTTGTTTTTCTTTTGTTTTTTTCTTTTTCCTGAGAAAAAGCAAGGAGAGCAAAGAAGGCATCATAGGAGTTGATTTCAACAGACATACTCTGGGAACAGAATTCTGACAGATAGCATTTAATCTTTTAAAATTATTATTTGATTTCAACAAGGCATTTGAATCCTTCTGTTAGCATGTTTAGACAGTCTGCTTCTAAAATTACTTACCAGCTTTATATGCTAAAGAGTTAGAAGCTGGCACAGACTTCTTGTAACAAAGGTATACACTGGAACCCCACTGGAAGATACAAGTTTCATCTTAGTACCAGCAAAAATGACAAAAGGCAGTAGAGAAATCGAGTGTAAGCATTTGAATACACTTCCACTTACAAACAAAGCAGATATTTAAATAAAAACTGTTACAGAATAAAATGACTGGCTGGCTGTTGAGTGCATGTAAATCACAAAACCAAGAATTCAGACTTCTCACATTTTTAGAGTCTACAGGATTTAAATAAAATAAACATACCACCAGAGCACTCTGACTTATTCTAATAGAAGAACAAGGAAAAGTGAAGCAAATCATTTGCAACTTCACATCTTCTTGGTTATTTAAAAAAGCCGACTCTTACGGGAACCTCAATAGTGGAAGTGAAATGCAAAACATCATCACCTGAAGCTTTTATCATACTTCCATAAACTGGTAATTTACATACTGCTTTTGCAGTTTGTCTAAATACATTCTACCATTTGAAAAAAGTCACTTATTTCAGCTTGAGTAAATTAAATGCAAAACAGACTAAACAAAAGTGAACAGATTGAAAATACATAAAGAAACTGTAAGTAGTAATTATCATTCACACATGCCTTAGTAATTAGGCATTATTAATAAACACAGAAAAGCATTTGTGATTCATCCCAAAGTGTCAGCATCACCAAGACATGGGGGGGATAGAATAATATTGAAAAAAAAATTCACTGCACTACTGCTAAATAACACATAGACATAAATATGCAAACTGAGTTAGTGAGTAATCAGTATGAAGTAATTCTTAACATTAAAGGAAATCAGAGCAACAAAACCTACAAGATTGAAGTCTTGAGATGGGGAGTCTAAACAGCCTTAGCTTGATGGTGCAAGACTAGGGAACTTTCGAAAAGACAAAAGGAGGCCTATGGGGCTGTTTGAAAAGACTTATCAGGTGCTGATAACGTTGCTAGGCTACTGTCTCCTAACTCAAAAAGAAGTTTCCTCTGGTCCTTGAAGTTGTGGATATCAGCAACAGATTACTCCAAATACCGGCACAAACTGGCCTAGCAGTCTGGTCAGAAGCCAGAGAACAACTGAGGCTGCGCAGAGCGACAGGGTAAAAAGTTCATCAACGAGGAAGAAGAGGTACTTCATCTTTGCAACCCCTGCCCAGAACTTGAAGAGCTCATCGTGCAGATGCAAGGGGAGGAGACCTGATTACCATGAGAAGTGAGGGGAGGCGAGGATAGACTATATATATGTATAAGCATTCTATGAATATACACTACTTTGTTACATATAAGCTGGACGGGAGCTGCAAACGGTGCGCATGCTTGTGGTGGAGTGATCCCCCACGTGCCCAGTGCTGAATAAACATACCCACTTTATAACTCCACAGTCATAGAGTGATTTTTAATGCAAGTCAGTCTCACGTGTATACAGAATGAAAAAACGATAATGTAGCAATAGAACACAATTATAACAATGCTAAGAAGAGTTCAAAGAGCTAATCCTGTGGATTTGTTTGTTCAGTTTAAAAATAAAAAAAGAGGTTCAAGGTTTTAAATACTTACCATACCACAATTTAAATTCTTATCAACTTTGCAGAACGTATGAGGAGGGGTTTCTCCTTTGCTAGTAACGATAACACAGATATCGGTAACTGCCAATGAATTCTGAGGTCGTATCGGAGGAGCCCTTCGATATGTGATAAAGATCCGTTGAGAAGAAGCTGAACTGTTGTTAACATTGGCGCAACGACCATAAGGAGTAGCTTGAATCACCTCACAGCCTGAAATGATACGTTCCTTCCCTTCATATAGAACTCTGCAGACAGGAAGGAAACAAAATATTATGCACGTTCAAATATATATGAACTTACTCGGACAAATACACAGTAGTTGTCTATCCGTTAGCAGTCTATGTCATCATTGCATCCCTCTAATGTGCACTTTACATATTGTATTTCAGCACATGCAATTTAAGGAAAATAAATTATTCAGAAATATTTAAATATTATAAGAAATCTCTGTAGGAACAAATCACAGTTATGAAAAAATAAAATCAAGCCACAATGAAATAGATTTATAGAATTGGTAGGAATGCCGCACTGTCAGTGAAAATTAAACACAAAGGAAGCTCTAAATTGCTTGCACAAATGACACCTGATAATTTCTTAGAAATCGTTTCCATCACTATGACATCTGGGAAGTAATTTTGAGGTTAGGGTTTGGTTTGTTGTTTTTTTTTTTTAAAAAAAAAAGGATCATTTTTGGAAAAGAACAACAGAAGACAGAAGTTTGCTTCACAGATATTCTTTAACAAAAAAAAAGCCCAAATCCAGTAATCATTTACATTCATAGTTTGAATAACATTCCTTAAGGGAAGAGGCAGGGAGAGAGGATGAACTAATACTCCATTCCACAGAAAAGGAATAATAATACAGGTGACTGTACTCCTAAGCTGTCCAGCAACATTCACGTGATAGCTGGATTTTTTAGCCAGATCACCAGTTTAGACCACTGTATCCTTAGAAAAATAAGAAAGATCCTTCAAGGCAGCTACATGAGCTAAAACTTCACACTATAATCTCTCCCAAACATAAAGCTATTAGGAAGTCACCATGAAAGAAATGTGGAAGTCAAACCATACCTTACTGCATATTTCTAATGTACAAATGCTATGATAGGGCATTGGGAGGTGTGGCTGGAGTTCTGGAAGAGACCTGGGGCTTCTAATTGACAAGCAGCTGAACATGAGCCAGCAGTGTGCCCGGGTGGCCAAGAAAGCCAACGGCATCCTGGCTGGTATCAGAAATAGTGTGACCAGCAGAAGCAGGGAGGTGACAGTCCCCCTGTGCTCTGCACTGGTGAGGCCACACCTGGAGTGTTGTGTCCAGTTTTGGGCACCTCAATACGAGAGAGATCTCGAGGTGCTGGAGTGAGTGCAGAGGAGGGCAACGAAGCTGGTGAAGGGCCTGGAGAATAAATCCTGTGAGGAGTGATTGAAGGAGCTGGGACTGTTCAGTTTGAGGAGGGGAGACCTCATCACACTCTACAACTCCCTGAAAGGACATTGTAGAGAGGTTGGTGCTGGTCTCACAGGTAATTAGTGACAGAACAAGAGGGAATGGCTTTAAACTGCAACAGGAGAGGTTCAGACTGGACATTCAGAAAACAATTTTCACAGGAAGAGTGGTCAGACAGTGGAATAGGCTGCCCAGGGAGGTGGTAGAGTCACCATCCCTGGATGTGTTTAAGGGTCATTTGGATGAGCTGTTGGGGGATATGGGGTAGGGGAGAACTTGCAGTGTAGGTCTGATGGTTAGATTTGATGATCCCAAGGGTCTTTTCAAACCTGAATGACTCTGGGATTTCTCCATTTCCTTGATTCTCTGCAGTATGTACAGAGATGTATGTATGTATGTATGTATGTATGTATGTATGTATGTATTTGCCACATGTACTTGCCACCTTCAAATGAGTTTTCATCTACTGTTATAATACATGGCAAGATTTAGGATAAAGATAACACATTAAAACTTTGTATTTTGTGACCTGCAACTTCCCACATGCAGTCCATCGCAACTTTAAAATAAAATATAACAAGGCACTGTATTTTACAATGCCCCAAAATACCCTTGGTTAAATGTTTGACAGACTACAGCAAGTATGTATTTGAAAACTTCAAAAAGTCACAGGTATAACCTAAAGAAAAAGGTATTTTTCCTTATCCAACAATTCTCAGAACTTTCAAAAAAATGTAACATTAAACTTCTCAAATTACTTAAATATTACTGTCCATCTTTAAATTTGAATATGCAAGTATTACTGTTGATTCTGATTCCACAGAACAAACATATCTTGTCATAGTATCAAGGATATACATGAACCACAGTCCTAGAATACTCGAATAAAGCAAAGAAATATCATGAGTTGGTAGTATGTAGTTACAAGGCTGCCATATAAATGTATTTAGCTAATTCATGGAGGAAAGTATTCTTGCTTTCAATAATGGCTTCTCCACACTTCTGCTACATTTAAAACAATGTGTAATCTCACATTCAAAATGCACCTAATACCTGTGTTTCTAAGTTGTAACATTAGTTTTAATATACCACCTACTGGTTCAAGATACATAGAGAAAGTCCATGCTATTCAAATTACTTCTAAACTAATTGTCTGTAATAACATGTATTTTGCTCTTTTTATTGGGTCACCTACTTCCTAAAGTTAAAAACGAACAAACAAAATACAAAACCAAGAACTACAATGGCAGCAGCCCTCAGGCAACCTTCGTTGTGCATAAAGGGTTTACATGAACTCTTTACATCATTGCTTTACATTAATCAGAGGAGAATATTAACAGAGCAGTCTCCAATGGAAGTTTCAGTTCTGTTTTATTTCAATTTCATGTATTTTAAATAAAATCCAGAAATTTAAAGCTATTCCAGAAACACCTGTCAGCTGACAGCTTTTAGGAATGATAACCATATTAATCAGACTATTTCAGCAGTTCAATCTAATAGGTTTACAAATATTTTCAGAAAGATATCTAAAGACTGAAGGAGTTCTCAACTGTGCAAATATTTTAAGATATATATTCTTAGTATTCAAGACGATAACAGTGGGGTCACCTCCACATCAATAGCAAAAAGAAAATGAAAGCAACTCTTGCCCTACATATATTTCAGCAAATGTATTACTAAAATCACACCATTTCCTGACCTCATGCATAGTATGGAGTTTAAGAAAATAGAAGAAAATCACCATCCATGGATCACTCAAACAATGATTGTAATGGTTTAGACAAAAACATTCAGCAGTGACGCATGAAATATTTAACATGACACCCTGTATATATGAAGTCTTCCCCGAGAGAGTAAGTTTACTCCTACTTTTTTCAACTTCCCAGTGTCTGCCTTCAGACAGATATTAGTACTGATAAGGGTAAGAATTGTTTCCTGCTTCTATGAGCTTATACTTTGGCCTCGATCTTAAGTACACCTTCCTTGCTACATTATTCTATCAACTTCAGTGAAGTTTAATTTCAAGTAAAATGTAGCCTACAGTTTCCTCTAGATGTTAGGTCCTTTCTTTGTAAGAAAGACTGAAAAATCTTGTTATCTCTTTGTAAGGCTGTTTTCACATTGTACATGGAAGTTCTCTCATGACTGGTCTTTCTAATTTGAAGGTATACTTCAACGCATCAGATAACAGAGTTTAGAAAAGATAAGTACTACCTTCTTGCAGCTGTTTAGCTAAAAGCGTTAAATCACAGAAAACCTTGCTTCACAATAGGTGGCCTGTTACAAATTGCATGGTGTCAAGTTGCTCTTCAGCTTGACTTCTCCAGGTTCAAACACATTTCTGCCTCTCACAGACCTTGTGCAAAGTAACTCTCTATGATAACTCTTCCTATTTCATTTAGGAGAAGGCAGTATGCAAGTACTGAATAATAAAGGAAATAAGTATTCTAGGCAGCAGGAGGGTCAGAGAAGAAGCACTGGGTCAAGCAGAGAGAAAAAAATGACTTTTATTTCTACTGCCATTATTATTATTATTACTGTCTAAACATAATACGGAATAGTTTCATCATTATTATCCTAACCTGTTCCAGACACCCAACTGCAGTTGTCACAGTGGTGGGATTTAAGGAAAATGGAAGATGCTAGCTGCTAAGAACATCTTCCAGTTTCTATTATGCTTCTTGAAATTTGAGTTCATTTTAATTTTTGAAATACATCTCTAGTAAAGAAAAATATTTATTCAATTGATACTTGCAGATACTTTAAGAAACCGGGTATGCAGAATGAGATGGGTCCTTAGCACAGAATCACTAACCAAACTAAAGTTTCCCATATTAGTAAAGGAAAAAAAAAAAAAATCAGCATTTGTTTACTTCACAATGAAAATTACCTAACTTTTGCATTACTCAAGTAATACAAGAACCTCTGCTTCAGACAAGATGTCTGATATTCTTTCCTTGGTCATTTCTACAGGAAGCATTACAAACTGCAAAATCACTTACACTTATAAAGCATTTTTCTGTCAGGTTTTCTTCCATCTAAGAATCAAGCATTAGAGCTCTCCCATTATTCCTAACTCAAGTGTAAAACCAAGAGAGGTGAGAGGTGAGATCTTGTTTCAAAGCCTCACTGCACTTCAACCAAAACAAATCTCCAATCTCAGTTCTTAACTATTTCTGGAACATTGGCAAAAATATTGGTTAGTAAAGCAACACAATGACGAGTAGCTGAATTATCTATGGACATATAAACTTAAGATACTAAATTTTACAGCTATATGTAGGAAAATGACCTTAGAGATATCTTGTCCTAGGATCAAACCTTTATTCTTCCAACTAAAAACAACCACAACAAATTCAACATGTCACATGGCCTAACTATAGATATGTGAGCACCTGCAGCAGGAAGTCACTGTAGCAGCTTACAGACACCACAATTTAAGAAACAGTGGAAGCATAGAAAGGAAAGAGAATGGAGGATACAGAAATACAGAACATAAAGACAATGGCAGAGAATCTGTAGAGTGTACCCTCATCTATCCCTTACCCCAAACTGCATTTGTTTAATTTTCCCTAAAATTAGCCCCGAAAGAAATAGACACATTTGTCAAGAATCATCTGAATGTTCAGACTACAAGATAACTCCACTTTACACACATATTAACAACCTTGACACAAGACTATGAATTTGACCCTTTCAAGGGATATACTCTTCCTCTACCTACTAAGTCCACTCAACATGGCAACTTATTTAACAGAAATTTAAGGTTTAAAGATTAAATATTCTTTCACACATGGTTTTTTAATTAAGGGTAGAGAACAGCATAAATTAGCCTTCAGACTGTACACACATCTCTTGTACAAGCTTCACTTTCAGCTGAACATATTAAAATTCACACACATACACAAAAAAAAAAGAAAACCAACACCCCGACACTCGTTCTAACCATCCCTTGCACGTAGTTGCAAAACAGCAGGAACAGCAGGGGAAAAACATTCATATGCATCACTGCTCAGACAGAAAAGCCTGCCATGATTTGTTAGGTGTGATATGCTAACTAGATCTGTGTAAAACAAAATATAGAATAAATACTATTTGCCAAATACCACAATTTTCCACCAATGGTTTTAAAAAGTGTCTCTGCCATGGAAGCACTTAGCCAGTCAACTATTTGCCTATTTTGCTTATCAGGTATTCCCTGTGAAATCTACCCAACATTCAGGTCCCTAAGGTTGTGGGAAACAAAAAAATAAAACATACTTGCAGTCTCTTCCATAAAGGCACATGCTGAAGACCGATCATTTAGGTATCCCTTTGAGGAATCACTCCCTCTAGAAATTCTTCCTTCTGCTAACTTACTGAAATTTGACATAGCATTAAAAGAATACAGCAATTCTACACAGTCAAATACTATTGCAACAGTTATCTCATCTTGCAGTATCAGTCACACACATGAGAAGAGACTCTTAAAATCACAGTTTCACTTAAGATCACTGAGGTGAACTGAAATTAGAATGTATCAGGTTAATTATGCAACTTGAACTATAATCATTAGAGCAGAGATCTTGCCATGTAACTAATTTCCTTATTAAAATTTCAGTTTCTTCCTGACTGGACTCTACTTGTCAGTTGGCACTCAAACTGCAGGTCAAAAGCCAAGTATGCATACTATGTGTCTGATGTGCTTAAACTTATAAAATGAAATTAACTAAACTAATTATAGCTTACATATAAATGTGGGTTTTTTTACTTTACTCTTTAATTAATAAATAAGGAAAAAACACACATATTCTTTATTTTGCCATCATTGAAACACTTGCCCCCCATGCTCCATTTTCTCTCTCTCATTACATTCCCAGTAGTTTTTCAATGTTCTTATCCAAACCAGAATAGAAGTGCTATACAGAGCAATTTAGACAATACTGTAGTGCTGTATGAGTTATTACAGATTAAGCATTACCTCAGTATGCTAATAGCACAGACTATAATATTCACCATCTCAAGATCTTGGGGGATTTTGTGATCTTGGTCCTGAACACTTACGTTAAACTCAATATCCTGTAAGTAATAAAATTAATTCAGACCTTCCCTGTCAGGCTGCCTTCTGCATTTATTAAGCATTGAACTTAAAGCACTGGCTATATCTAAGGTTTTCAAACACGGTACTAGTAATTCTTTAAGAACTTACTCCTCAAACATCAAAAAGTGTTGTTTTTGAAATCAAGCATTATTAGTGTTACCAAGAGACTATATAATCTAGTGTTTTCAGCCAATCGTGTCAGAACCTGTAAGCAACCCCACAAACATGCTGATCTGACAGTAAGGTAGGCTACAAGATTCTAGGTAGGTGGGTAATTTCAAGATGTTTCAGTGTCCTACCATTTTAAAGTGGTATCTTTTACCTTAAGTAATAAAGTGAATTCCACAAAGTGATAATTTTTGTCTTCTGAAGTAATGACTTTTAGATTAAGTACATTATATTTCTGGATTTGCAATATACCATTTCGATAAATTGATTTTGTACTACTCTCTCACCTTTCACAAAACTGCAGCAGAGAACTTTGTTTCTTGTGTTTAATTCACTCTCTCATATCTTTATAAGTTTAAACACCATCATTCATTTTAAAAAGGCAAGTTCAGTAAAGATTGACACTTTTTTCAACTTATTTCAGAAAGAAAATACTACAAAGATACACACAGTAAGCAATACAGATTCAAAGAGAGTATATTCTGAAACATTTTCCCACATCTGTTTTCATCATCATCTGTGAAGAATAAGAATTGATCACTGAGGAACTGAATTGTTAGAGAAATCTCACCCGATGTCAGTAAGGGGTGGTTTGTCCCGGCCTCTCTTGTAGCAAAGAAAAAGTTCAGGACTCTTTAGACTGCCATAGTTTAAGTTGGCTTGAAGGGCTGTAGGGGTGGCTTCAACACAGGTGTATCCTTCTGGCACAGTTTCACCAGCTGATTTAATTATTACAGCAATGTCAGTAATTGGAGCCTTTGGACCAGCTGACTTTGTTTCATGTCGGCTTATTTCTTGGTCCAGAAGGGTTGCAGTATCTGTATCAGTGAGCCCCGCCACTACAAAATAGTCAGCCACTCGTGGACCTTTGTCTTCTATCATGGTTATGTCAGTAATTCCTGGGGAAAATAAAGAGAGATAAATCAAACCTCTGCTTTCAAGCTAAACCCCTTCCCTTAACAGGTATAACATTTTAAAACCTTTAAATATTTTTTTGTAAATAAAAAATTTCCTGGAGTTCTCACAAAAATTCTAGGGAAACTCTAAAACAAACTCTGATTTCTGCTGCTCAGAAAGGTAGTACAGTTGATAACTGGATTTCAGTTCTAGTATCATAACAGTCACGTTTTAGCACAAGGAAGTTTAAGTGAGATAAAAACCTCAAAGCTCCTAACATGGCAGCTACACAGAAAATTGCTCTGTATTAGTTATCGGACCATGCAAGCTCTCTGAGGGCTACAAATTAATGCAGGTACCCCTAAATAAAAGCATATCTATTTTCCTGACATTTCTTAGTGAATAATCTGACTACAGAATCACACTGCTCTTTTCTTTCTTTGAGAGAACAATTCCAACTGTAGGTTCACTGGTTTATCTTCTGCACATTTCATCCATTTTGTTTCATAATCTAGACCTAATGATGTAGTCTTCAGACATTCAGCTGGCAACTACAACATTGGAAGCCATTTACAAAAATCACACATCCAAACCCACATTTCATCAGCTGATCAGGCCGTACACATCACTGCTCAGCTGCACATTCCAGATCTGGAAAGAGTTGTTCTCCCAATGCCAGCAACGTTCACTAAGCATATGATTTTAAAGCAGTGAAATGTATGTTTCTATTAAGAGCAAAACTGGCTGACAGACTATGCTCAAAAACCACAAGTACAATTTCAAGTACCTGATCCCATGATACTCTTTATAAAAGTTCAGTGAGAAATATTTTAAAAGTATTTATAAAAGTTCAGTGAGAAATATTTAAAAAGTAGTTGCTAAACAATAAACTTGAATACTATTATAACCCTTCAGGGAGCTAGGGACAGCCTTTTAGATCCCCATGTTTCCATCATGAGATTTCTGGGGATTCCATCTAGAAAGCTGACCAAGAATGAAAGTCTGGTTCCTATCTTTAAAAACAAGACTGCCACAGCTGCCAAGGTCCCACCTACCAAGGACCATGGTGGTCCATGAGTATTACCAAGTAAGTGCAACAAAATTGAAAAGTTTTTTGTATTTAGAATTTCCTAGTCTGGTAACTGCAGAAACACTAGCCTCTGCTAAGAGAAAGGTGTTTTGACAGAGACAGTATAATCCTGTTTCCTGCAACCCAGTTTCTCCTCCTGTTCATACTCTGCTCTTTCTTACTGTAATTATACTGAAAAAGTCTTTTTCCATCCTCACAGTTTACAAGACTTGTAAAACTTGTTATCAGAAGTGTTCTGAGCACTCAGCTGAAGGAAAAGAATCAGTTATTCATCCTGCATGCTTACTAAGAAATCTTAGTATAAAATTACACATTTTAGGTGGCAACCACTACATTGCAAGATACTGTAGCATGAGATTAAAGTAAGGAGGGAAAGGGAAGTAACTTCATGTAAACCTGTAGTACGTCTGTGCTCCAACTAACTCCATTTTTTATTTTCTAACACTGAATGACAACTTTTCAAATCCTTTCAAACCTGAAAGAGGAATATCTACACCCTTTAAAAGACTCTTCAACATTTTTCCATGCTTTCACAGCATCGCTTCAGTGTTCTCTAAACACTGGCTAACAGCTTTTGTAGAGCAATCCATAAACAAAGATCACTGGAAGAGACATTAAAGTGTTTGACTCCCCTGAAAAGGAGAAAGCCATGGAACAGCTATTCACATAACTGAGTTTTCAGGCCTAAAATATATGGACGTATCAACAGGAACAATAAAAGGTTTATCCAATTTGTCAGGTGTTCAGTGCCTAGGCCTCCTGAAGAACAAGAAAATTACTCCAAAGCCATAGCTATTTGTGAAGCTTCTGAATCACTTTCAATTACACAACTTTCAGCAGTTTACCCTTTCTACTGCCATATATAACATGAGGTTAGTGATAAAGTCCTTCACAGGTAAGCAAGGCAGCATGAAATGCATGGGTATTAGCTTCAACTTAATCTCATATAAATTGGTGCCTTCATTAAAAGGTGCCTCGTCACGCTGCCACTGCTCATTACCACCTTCACTTTTGTCCAGAACTATATTTGTGCAATCACGAAATGAACTGGAAAAAGGAATTGCTCTAGCTGCACGTTAACCTGGCAAAGATTGTTTAGTGTTCAACCAGAAGAGTTCACCAATGACTCACTGTGTCAGCACAAAAGCAGCTGCAGTATGACCCTTTCAGTGGCAGCACTGACTTGCATTGGATGTGAAGTCTAAGATGTTTCAGTTTGCCTCTTAGATGCTTGGATTTTTTCACAGAATTATAAAAATAAATAAATAAACCAACCACTTCCTGGTCCCCTTAAAAGAAAGAAGTCCTGAACCAATATGTCTCGTAAAGCACTGTTTGCACTTGACATACATGAAACCAAATTACTGGAACAAGCTGCTAAAAATAGCAAAATGGTTGGCATCTGTGGTGCGTTGACCTTGGCTGATGCCAGGTACCCACCAAAGCCATTCCATCAGTCTCCCTCCTCAACTGGACAGGGGAGAGAGAATAAAACAAAAGGCTTGTGGGTGGAGATAGGGACAGAGATCATTCACCAATTACCGTCATGGGCAAAACACACACAACTTGGGAAAAGTAACAATTTATTGCAAATAAAATCAGAGTAGAGTAATAAGAAATAAATCCTAAAAACACCTTTCCCCCACCCCTCCTTTCCAGGCTCAACTTCACTCCTGACTTCTCTACCTCCTCTCCCACAGTGGTGCACCAGGACGAGGAATGGGGGTTGCAGTTAGTTTCATCACCCATTGCTTCTGCTGGTCCTTCCTTCCACACACTCTTTCCCTGCTCCAGCATGAGGTCCCTCCCACAGAGACAGTCCTCCATGAACTTCTCCAATGTGAGTCCTTCCCACAGGCTGCAGTTCTTCACGAACTGCTCCAGTGTGGGTCCTTTCCACGAGGTTGCAGTCCTTCTGGAACAGACTGCTCCAGTGTTGGTTCCTCATGGATTCACAAGTCCTGCCAGCAAACCTGCTCCAGAATGGGCTCCTCTCTCCACGGGTCCACAGGTCCTGCAGGGGCTCTCCACAGGGTCACAGCCTCCCTCAGCCAAGTCCACCTGCTCCAGTGTTGGATCCTTCACAGGCTGCAGGTGCACATCTGCTCCACCATCAACCTCCATGGGCTGCAGGGGCATCTCTGTTCTGACAGCTGGAGCACCTCCTCCCCCTCCTCCTACTTCACTGACCTTGGTGTCTGCAGGGTTAGTTCTCTTCACATATGGTCACTCTTCTCTCTGGTTGCAATTGCTCTCCCCATTTTTCTTCCCCTTTCTTAATAATATTATGACACCACCCCTTTAGCCCTCCACTAGCAAAACCTTGCCATGTAAACCTAATAGAACATCATATAATTATTTTTTTTTAAACCTCAAATCTTTGTTAAATGTTCCAGCCTTTTATTACCTGCTACATGTTCACACAGTTCAATATCATTGTCACTCAACGCAGTATTAAAATCATTACCCACTTGTAGCACACTGAGCAAGAAATAAAACAGTAACAGAATACAACATCTAAAAATACAAACTGATATTTTTATCACAGCTGTGGTTCCTGCAATTGCACTAATGTTATCTCCAAATGTTTTTTAAAGTCAAAATTCAGCTTTCCTGGGTAAACAGAAGGAGAAAAATTTTAAAGGACAAAAAAAAATTAAATACAAAGATTTGGAAGGTTAGAACACAAATTAAGACAATCCATTCCCAATTTTTTTACCAGTGGGATCAATAAAACTGTAGCAATTGGTTACTTGGGAGCCTACACTTACATCTATGATTTTATATTTCTCTCTTAGCCATGGCTGGTTTACTTCACAGAAACTCTGTGTAATATGTGGCAGGCAAAAGTCAGAGTCACCAAACAATTCGGCTGAGAAACGTGGCACATAAGCCCCATGTCAGCACAACATTTAGAGAGTTTGTCAAAATGTTGAGTCCCTCAAAACAGTTCCCTTCCTTTTCCACAAGCGTAAGAGAAGTAAGGTTTCAAGTAAGCACTACAACTCAGCTCTTAAAGTATTCCCCAATTTCAGACAGATTTAAAGCAACAGAATCTTCCAGAAAGAGGCCTTGAAGTAACAACTCTTAATTAAGTCACAGTTATCTTCCTTAAAGTAATAGCTCTTCTAAGAGACCTTCTATCATAAGTTTTATCATGGCAACTTTCCCCACGATAATTTCAAGAGATACTGTCCTCTGTCAGTTTTCTATGAGTAGTTTCTGTACATCACAAGACTAACAGGAAAACTCAGCATTTAGAAAATATTGGGATTTTTATTGTAACACCCATTCCCTTTTGGGAAAAAAAAAACAAATAGAAAAAAATTCTAAAAGTAAAAACCGTTAACTTGGTGTTGGATGATAAAAATGCAGGATCTGTAGAAAAAAAGCCAACATACAAGTCCCATGAAAGATTTTTTTTTAAGTCTACAAATATACTTCAGTTTTAAGTTAAATAAACTGAAAACAAAAACTGGGAATTCTGTTTAAAGAACATGAGTAATATAGTTTGAGGAATTACAAATCTCCAAGTCCATTTGGATCCACAGGGACTATGGAGAAATTATTTAAGTGAAGTCAGTTTTCCAATTCATTCATTCATAGGCCATCCTAGGAAAATTAGCTATGAGCAGCATAGTGGCATAATTATTTTTTAAGAAAAAAAAGTCTTCAGAATAAGAGATGTACTTTTAAAATCCCCATGTTTTTCTAAAAGGAATTCCTACTGAAAGTAATTAGTTTTGTAAAAGAAAACCAAAACCAGCCTGCACAGACAACACTTAAAGGCACTTAGTATGACTAGTCTAAGTCAAGAGATCCATATTTAGCAAAAATACGTATGAGAAAAAAAAAAAAAAAAAATCTTTTCACTGCTAAATGTCAGAAATATGGCAGTGTTCTCCTCTC